AGAATTGAAGGTTCACGAAGCTCAGCAGAAGCCGCAGAGAAGCTGATCGTCTTATGGGGTGCGGAGTTCTCTGTGTGTATAGAGTACAGCGTAGACCCTTTTTTCTGTTTCTCTTCTTCTCAAATATGACCAAAGAACAAAGGAATAAAAGAGAACACAAAAATTCATCTATTTGCACTTATAAGAGAGATAACCAAGGTTGTTATTCTCTACTCCGTACCAACCCTTCTGGTGATATTTCTGTAGAATACCAGGGTCCTGGTATTTACCATACCGTCACAATCATTACCGCTGCCCTGGATCGGAAGGCCCTGCGAAGCTAAAGAGGCTGACCCGTGGATAAACTGAGATCCTGTGGTCATTTTGGACCTCGGAATTAAATACCTTTTTAGAGGTATTTCGAGCAGAGATTTTCTATACGAATACGCCGAAGCACTCTTTAGTTATTCGGCAGTGTACAAGTACAATAATAATAATAATGTCATATGATGATGTTGTATAGGTACAGTATCATACATTACGGTACAGACATGTAACAGCAACGGTTCCAGATTCACATATATATATAACCAAAAAAAAAAAAAAAATCAAACATAAATAGACACTGTTATTATTGATGCCGCAATAATAGAATGGCTCTGTCATGAGAGTAAGGTAATTGACCAATGCTAGCGCTTATGGCTTCCGATTCTATAATCGCGGTAGTTCTTTTCACTGAACTTGTCATTGCTGGAATACGAACAAGATTAAAGAAAAAGAGTTCTGGCTATGCCAAACTATGTATCCTGACTATGAAGTCCTCGAATGGACCTACCTTGACTATTGACGGCGATCATTCTCTGTTCCATCCATTCCTTGACCAAGTAAGGTCGAACCAGCATCATGCACAATTAATACTATGCACAGATGCACTTACATAAAACCACTAATGTCAGCACCATAAACCGTCAGATCAGTCATACCAGTGGTGAATTGGATTCTCAAGATTTCCGGAATGGACACTGGCCACATACATATACAGCCAGCCACTCTTTACCCCCCGGCATTCCAGTTGTTTCAAGGGAGATCTATTGAACTGTTCCTATGAGGGCTTTTGCGAATGCTACTATTCCGTACACCCGCGTACTACAGTGTTGACAGATATTCGCTGTCGAACTCCAGACTTTACCCAAGCACCATCTTGGACAGATCTCTCATTGAGATCATTCCTACGAAGTACAGAGTATAGTTTTTTCCTCAGCTGATTGTATAGATGCTTTATGGCGGTCTGGTGAGGAACGTTCTGGAGCTGTCACATTGAGCCATGGCCAGATAACGCAATTGCTGCTGCATTCCTCGGAATTCGACAACTCCCCTGCCTCGAGAGTTCAATCATTGGCCTTCCTTGGCATAATATATCTCTGCATGAGAGTATTCCGTACCTTGTACGTGCATAAGTAGAATACGAGCATGTCAGAGTTCCAGGTGCATTGTTCGGTGTTCCTTACCTGGAAGCGATTATGTGGTGGAATATTCATATAGTGCTGCCAGTACGGAGTACATACATAATTGGTTCTTTTCAATGTTAATTATGAAATAAGCAAACGACCTCTTGTCATCTCCCTTCGCCTTTCGATATCAATTGCTTCATCAATGTTCAAGCTCCATCCACCCAGGTCTCCATAGAAGACACAAGAGTATTCCATCCAAAGCAAGACATATTGAAAAACGAAATCAATTGTTCCGTAGGTTTAATTTACACAATTTCATTTAAGACATAATGGATGTTCATGGTTTATTCCCGTTATCCATTCGTCCTAAACGCTCTCTTTTGTCCGCGTCGAAAACGTAATAAACCTAGTGGGCAGGGGCCTCATCCTCCTCAGGCTCAACGAACCAGTGCTCCTCAACAGGGGCAGCCTCGCCGCTAGCGGCCTGGCCCTCGACCTCAACGTCCTGGCTCTCGTAGGCGGACAGCTCGCCGGCGAGGTTCGCCTCCTCGGGGGATTGGGGAGCCTTGGGAGCGGCGAACTTGTGGACGTGAGCCTCGGCGTCACCGGGCTTGACGGGGGTGGGCTTGTAGGCCTTCAACTCGCGAAGGTAGAGCTCCTGAACGGGGTCCGCTGCAGTAAATGTTAATGCCTCCGGTGTCGGAAAGAACGAATGAGGTTCGATATGAGAATTGGGAAAAGAGCTCAATGTCTGTAATCGAACTAGAATAGGGTGACCTACCCCGACGGACAGCGGAGTTCATGAAGCTGCGGCGAGCGACAGAAACCTGTTGCCGAGAGGCGCGGGAGAAGAGGGAGCGCTGTACCACCACTACCGTCAGCAATCCGTTTGGTCGCATTGATATATTCACTAACGGGTAGCAGGGAACTTACCGAGGCTCTGAGAGTCTGAGACATCATTGTGGGCAGACTGGTGGTTGGAACGAAGAGACACACTGCTGAGGGTGGGAAAGATGAAGTTCCGTCCATCCACCGACGAGGTTCAACTCTTCGGGAGGCTTCGGCTTGGCACTGCCCGCCGATGACTCAGCACTGCGGCTCTGCTACCTCGTCCGAAACAGTTTCGCCTTCTCTTCTCTTCTTCTCTCCACCCCCGAAATACCAAACGCCTCCCCCATCGAAAGGAAACAACCTCAACGCTGTTACCTCGAGTTTACCCCGTTCTATCAATTTAGGCGGCTTCATTCGCTACGAGGACTCAGCGACTCCGATATCGCTCTCACCCGATATCCCTCGGTGTCGCCATAGGTTTTGCGTCAGGCTTTACTCGACTTCTGCTCTCTTTCGTGAGATCGACGATCGCGATCTATTACGAGACCTTGACTGGTTTGCTGCGGTTGGACGAGTTTAATCCTGGCCTGGGATTTTTCTGGGGGCTTGATTTGGGAAAAGGTGCTTTACTCAGGGGCCTGTTCGCAGAACTAGGACCCTATCCGTACTGGAAAGGTAAAGCATCAGTTGACTGGGTTCTTTGAGAGTTCATGAGGGATTTTTTTTGCTAGCCATGGCATATTTCTCTTTTAACATGGATTTATAGCCTGGGAGCAGTCTGGCTAACAGAATCATGAGGCACAGTGTCACAGAGACGTGACTTTATTGTCTTCTCTTAGGTCGAATACACTACCACCGTCTTTCTGCTGCGAGGACGAACAGGTTAAGGGAATCGAATTCTGGAGGTACAGTTTCCGAAATAATCGAAAATGGCTGCTGTTTCCGCCGCCGCCGCCGCCGCGCAGCAAGACCCCAATCAATGGAAGAAGAACCTTTCGGCCCATGTAGTCTGTCCCGAATGCAAGGAAATGCCGCCAAACCTGGAGTTTCCTGATTCCCACGAGACGGTTTGCGGTTCCTGCGGGCTGGTGCTCTCGGATCGAGAGGTTGACATGCACTCAGAATGGCGTACATTCTCCAATGATGATCAGAACAACGACGACCCTTCTCGTGTCGGAGACGCCACGAATCCGTTGTTGAACGGTGATCAGCTGGAAACACAAATCGCAAGTGGAGGTTCTGGCAAGATCCGCGATTTGTATCGAGCTCAGAACAAACAGTCGAGTGAGAAGGCGAACAAGGCCCTTCTCGCAGCGTACAAGGAGATTGGTGCACTATGCGACGGTTTCAACATTCAAAAGAATGTAGCCGATACGGCCAAATACTTGTTCAAGGTCGTTGATGATGCTAAGGCCTTCAAGGGCAAGTCGCAGGATGTGATTATTGCTGGATGCATTTTCATTGCCTGCCGCCAATGCAAGGTTCCTCGTACCTTCACAGAGATTTTCGCGGTTACAAAGGTGACGAGAAAAGAGATTGGGCGTATCTACAAGGCTCTCGAGAAGTTCTTCACAAATCAGAACCTCGAACGGATCAACACTGTCGTGTCGAACGGTGGTGTCCCAGACCCCAACGATACCTACACTGCTACCACCTCTACCAAACCCAGTGATCTCTGCAATCGTTTCTGTAACTTGCTCGATCTTCCGTTCCAGGTTACAAGTGTGTCCTCTTCGCTCTCCGACCGCGTCACTACGATGGGTGATTTGGCCGGCCGATCTCCTCTGTCTATTGTGGCAGCGTGCATCTACATGGCTTCCTACTTGATGGGACATGGCAAGTCTGCCAAGGAAATCTCCCAAGTGGCACACGTTAGTGATGGAACCATCCGCGGTGCCTATAAGCAGCTCTACGCTGAGAGAGAGCGTCTTGTTGATCCGGACTGGGTCAAGGAAGGCAAGGGTGACTTGAAGAACCTTCCTGCCAGCTAAGGCGTAACATTTTCTCTCTTCCTCTCCCAGAATGCCGGCTCGCGTGCGTGCGTTTCTACGTTCGTCGTCAGGCGATTTTTCAAACCGCCTTATAAAAACAATGAAAATATAACACCATGATATTGTCGTTTGGAATGCTACCATGCCGTTGCAGCTTCCACCCCCGTCCATGGAAAATCCATACGCCTTTGGCTTTTCCTCCCTTTGCATAAAATCTGCTAAGTGACCAACAGTTTTCTCGCATCTGCACAGCGCCATTCAAATTGATTGTTATTCCGATACTATATTTATTACCCATCATACCCATTTTCTAGCTAACTGAACGAGTCGCTAAGTCCATTGTTTTGCAATAGAAAAGAAAAACCAGAAAGAAGAAAGAAGAAAGAAGACAAGACAAAAGAAAATGAAGAAAAAAAAAAAACACGACATTGGCTGATTCATTGCAGATTTTTCTAAAGTAGCTTCTTGCATTTTTTGATACACCGTCTGGCTCAGACACGTTTAGAATTGGTTTGATATTGTGTTTTACTTTTGAGCTATAATAATATAAAAAAAATAAAATAAAATGTATTGGATCCACTAGGAGTGGAAGAGTCGTTTATTTTGACACTAAGAATGCTATGAAGAAGACACAAAACTCCAACAGGACTTACTGGATCTGACCAATCGCATACAACAGGATACATACAAATCGAAAAAAATAAATAAAAGCACTCCGGACTGCTAGAAATGAATGACATGATTCCCCTCACTGGTCTATCTGGATGTCACCGTCTGACTCTCTTTTGCCATCGGCAGATGCAGCCATACTCTCAACAGTTTTCTCCAACTTCAACTCAGGGCTTGCGTCACTTGGCTTGTTGGTCTCCCGAGGCTCAATGATTTTAGGATCAAAGGCTGGAATCTCAGCGTTTGGGGTATCAGTGATCGGAGACGTGGTTGGTGATTTGGCTGTGGTTGGGATTTCGGGTTCAGCCAGAGGTGATTCTTCCTCTTCTTGCTTGGTTACAGGCTCAACGACCGGTTCTGGCTTCTTCTCGAGTCTGGCTTCGGGTGTCTTTGTCGGTTCAGGAGACGGTACCAGATCGGTTGGTTCACCAGCGACATTTTTAGATAGCTCAGGGGCCATTGGAGGAATCTCCGGCTTGAGTGACTCCGGTTTTGGCTCTTCTGACTGGGTTGTCACCGCCTGTAATGGTTCTGGGGATGGCTTTGGCTCCGGCTCCGGCTTCTTGCTAACATCCTGCCCACTCACGACCAACTGACCACCTTCATTGATCTGCCAAATGTTCCATACATCCGCAATCTTGACCTCTGGAGCAGCAGGGGGCTTCGCACCCACAGTTTTGGTTGTCGTTGTGGCTGTGGTAGGAAGAGTAGCCGCAGGGGCGGGCTTCCTCCGTGCCGGACCACGAGCTCTGCCTTTACGAGCGTCTTGGAGCGGCTTCTTTTCTGCTGGTTCCTCTTCCTTCTTCTTCTCTTGTGGCTTCGGGGGACCGCCCTGCAGACGTGAGTTAAGATCCGTCAAGAAGCCAGCCTTCAGTGCGGCGATCTTGCTGCCACCAGGACGGGCTGGGACCGGCGGCTTCGGTTTGGCTGTGGCATCCTTGGGCTCCTCTTTCTTTGGTTCTTCAGGACTCTTCTTAGCTGGGCGGGTCGGGATTTGTGGTTTTGGTCGACCGGGTATGCTTGGTGGCTGTCGCTTTTCAGTAGGCGAAGTTCCTGGCTTGGTAGAGGGATCCACCGCAGGAGGAGTTAATTGCGGGCGCCTCGCAGGTCGAGCAGGGATGCTTGGCTTTTTAGGCACATCCGGGCTAGTTAACCCCTCTTTTGGGTTCTCCTTGGGAGCTTCCTGAGGCACCTCGCGGGGAGCTTCTTCGGAAGCTTTCACGGTCGTCACCAACTGTTGGCTGTCAGGAGCATCTTCCCATACGTCTTTGCTGGGAAACCTCTGCTTGGAGAGATCTGGGCGTTTCGTATCGTTCTCCTTGTGCTCTTCCGACTCGAGGATATGCGTAGCAACTTCATGAGGATCAACGGAGGCTGCCTGGCTTCTACGAATAGATTCCTGCTCTGGTGTTTCGAATGACTCAAGTTTTTGTGTGTCTGGCGTCGTGACAGTGGCGTGTAATTGCAAGCTGTTGGGCGAATCCTCCCAGATATCCTGGCTCGGGAACCTATGCTTGAGCTCGGGTCGTTGCTTGAATCGTTCCGCGGTCGACACGGGTTTCTTTTCCATGTTTTTGTCTTCTGGGAATAATGGCTCATATTCTGCGACATCCTCCAAAGGCGTATGAGGGTCTTCCCGCTCTGAGCCACGCGAGGTCCAACGTGCCAACGCGGGCCTACCGTGATTACTGGTGGATCTGCTGTTGGAACGACTGTGGCCAGTGCTAGGAGTTTGATTCCGGAACTCATCGAAGCTATCGCCCCTCTCAAGAGTAGGGGATACTGCCGGATGCTGGAACGCTGATTCTGGGCGTACTTCATCGGCTGCCAGAATGGGCTCTTCTTCCTCATGTTCATCATCACCTGGTTTAGCCTGTTCCTCAGGCGCGGGAGTTGGTGCAAAGCCATCGGGGTGATGACTATGGTGATAGGGCTCGTCGACGTGGATCACGCCCGAATCATGCGTAGTTTCTTGCTTGCTCTCTTTCTCGGTGGTGGGATGGCTCATCTTCCGCAAGGGTGACTCAACCGCAGGACGCGCACTGCGATCAGGTGCCGGAGATGCCATGCGCTGAGTGTATTCGTCCGAAGCCATATAGCCGACTTCTTCTTTTGGAGTACCTGTTACGGCAGGAGAGGTTCCTTTGAACCCGTTAGCTTTATCTTTAAAACCAAGAGAAGATGTAGGTACTCACCCAATCCCGATCCAGTCACGGCTGAGCCACGAACAATCTTGTTCAGGTCATCACTGCTCAAGGCCCAATCCGGCTTGGGAGTACCACCCGGTGCATGTTGATTCTGTTCTTCTTTGGCGTACTCATCAGGGTGTTTTTGATACCAAGCTTTCTCAAACTTGTCATTATTATGCACGCCGTGACCATGGAGACCATAGCTACCCGGGGGCAGAGAAGCTTCACGGCTACTGCGAACACGGTGTTGACTACGCCCAGGGCGCTGCCCATGTTCCAGATGATGAGGCGCAGGAGATGGAGCTTGCACATCACCCGCGTTGGGATACATTGGGACTCTCTGTCCTATCTCTGGGATCCCATGCTCTTCATTATAACGGTCTGCAGAGGCAGTGGAAGATTCTTCTCGCGAACTAATCGTTCTGGAGTGAAGCGGGCGGCCGGAACGCTCATGTTGCTCCTCTGATCCTGGAGTTTCCGCACCAATGCCAGCCGCAGCCGCCTGGCGAGAATCCGTCCTGGTGACAGCCTGTACCTTTGCAGTGGCACTGGACGTGGGCAAAGACGGCTTCGGCGCATGAAGCTTGAGTTCGCTGCCGACATTTCGAGTCTCGGGGTCCTCCGCAGGCTTTTCAACACTCAAGTCTTCGTATTCTATGCCTTCCTCACCTAGAGATGGTATTGTTACACTGGCAGGCCGTGGCACCTGGTCGTTTGAGGTCGTTCGGCTTAGACCCGAGCTGCCGGGCTTCTCGTTCAAAGGAGACGGGGCGTAATTCTGGCGTAGCGGGGACATAGAACGTTCTATAAGCTTATTCGGGCGAGGAGGGATCTTTGGACCGTCTAGTACCGACGTGGGTGGTGGGCCCTGCTGTAGTTGCTGCTGCTGAGGCGTGCGTGACGGCCGCGGGGGAATAGCCGGAGGTTGTGTCGACATGATTGACTGGTAAAACGTGTGAAACTACTTCTGAAAGGGAAGAACTGGTAAGGAAGTTAGTGACAAAGTTGGGAGAACTCAAGCAGCAATGCAATTGAGGCAGTTGGGGCTTCTCGGAGGGACGGCTGGCCAACACGACACCACGTTGCTGATCAGGAATCTGCCTGCAACTCTCAACCAAGGCCCAATTGGAAGAGATAGATATCCAATTGACTCCCAAGTCCCTGATAAGGCCTGGAGAGTAGCGACTCCACTATGAGGAAAGCAGGACCCGGGCAGCAACAGGAGGGCTGCTACTCCGCGTAGACACCATAACAACAATGGCTCACTCAAACCCTCTAAGATAAGAAAGTTGCAGCGCTTCCAATAATTCTGGAAACATAGGAGCATGGAATACAGATAAACATAACCAATTTACTTACCCGATGGATCGAAACGAGTCTCTTTGTCTCCGAAGACAACGATAGGCGGTGTTGCAACTCCAAAGCGTCTAAAACGTGAGCAATCCAATTCGACAGAACAGTAGACAAGAGAGATTGCCAGGGGCAGAAAAACAGACATTAAAGCACCACGAATAAAGCAAAAAACAACGGAACAGAAAGAGTGATGGTGTGGTATTATCAACAAGAGGGGAAGAAGGAGGGGAGAGGAACAAGTAGACGGTGACGATGCCAGCAGATGATGTATACGGTACCGCCCGTTACTTACGGGACCACCCCATCGATGTAATACCGATACCAGAGTTGCAACCGGGGCCAATAGGAACTTCACTTAAATGCAGTGTGGGACATGATCTGTTGTATTGTGTTTACGTCGTTGGGGATCTATGCGTATTACGATCACCAGCATCCTTCCTCGACTACTCCTCTGGGGCCTATTGAATTTTGTGATAGGATAGAAGAGATGTATAATTGTAGCCCTACGGAGTATACTGCCAATATTTTGCTTGTTCTGTATTAGTGTCTCGGCTGCATGTGTTCTTGTATGAAGAAGCCAGACATATCTTCGTACATTCGAGGCATTTCTTGTCCCTATAAGTCTCTGGCACGAGCAAATGACAATATAGCAGATTGTCTACAGTCCACAGAGAATCCATGTCTTCGCTATAGATAAGAAGAGGGGATAAGTCTGGATGCTGCACCAACAGACATATCTGATGTATGGATACTCGGGCGCTTACATACATCTGCAAGTTGAGTAAAGGTCTGGATTTACATGGTTTTTTCCTTGGTGGAGTGGTCTAGATGACGAGGGCCAGCCTCGTGGAGGCTATAAATCAAAACTCCATTCCTGAGAATCACGCTATAATAAGCTAATACAGCAGTAACACTATAAATACATGAGTCCATCCACTGACGTAGTAAAGAACAGCAGATCCGAGTTCGTAATCGTCGAGCATAAATGCGAAGTAGAAACTTGCATCCTCTTCTTTACTCCGTTTCCTGCACTTTTGATCGTCCCTGTCAGTTCATTCCGGCATCGAGCCCGGGCTGACAAAAAGGAATTCGATCGCCCATCAAACAGGAACCTAGCATACCTAGAGAAAGAAAAAGAAAAAAGTAAAAAGCAAAAGCAAGTCTCCCCAGTTATTCCTCCATACTAGACAATCATCTGCGCGAGTCCTTGTCCACCCAAGGTTTTGCTACTGGTAAACTCTTGACTCTTCAGACCAGCAAGCGCGTAGAAGAGACCTGCTAAAAGGAGAACGACGGCGGCCGCGATCAGACTGGATGCGCCAGATACAAGACTAATCCACTGTATGGCACTCAAAATGGCGTACATCGAAGCGCGCATCCAGTTTGTCGTGAAGCGTCGGATAAATTCGTCGAATTTGGGGGATGTAGGGCATATTCTTAGGAGGAAAGGGACTTCGACGAATATGAGAACAAGACCGGAAACACTGTACGCGCGTGGGCACATTAGCTTTTTAAATTTTCAGACAAGACAAACGAAGAGCTTTGACTTACATAGCAAGGACACTGAAGATAATCCGAATCGCGTTGAACGAGAAGATGCTAGCGATGCCAGTCGCGAGGCACAGGATGATGGCTAACACACCGGTCCTAAATGTCCGAACAAGTTAGCATCGCTTATAATATTGAGACCAGACTTGAATTAAAGTGATCGTTGCCAGATCCCTTGAGCACCTGCATGGAAACCGCTGGGTAACCTCGATCGGCAAGGGCCAAGTCGCGCATCCGAAATCCAGGCAACCACCATTGATTCAATTGAAGAGTTTCGACGACGCGCAGGTTTCAAAAGGTAGAAAAGAGAAGCGAGAGGGAATGCAGAATACTGACCATTGTCCATAGATACCTAAATAACGTAACTGTTAGCATCATACTCGCGGCAGGTGGACAAGGCGCAAGGCGATCTTACTGAAGTTTCTCGAACGGAACTCCTCCCTGAACGTCATTTTGCAAGTGCGATTTAGTCAGGAATTGAGTGAGAACTGAGTATAAAGTGTTCCTCTATAGCGATGAGGTTAAATCTGCGAAAAGTGAAAAAGTTGCTTTGATATGATGATGTTTGTTTCAGCAAAAGTGGATTGACTGTTTAGGAAATGGCGCCAGGTGTCGTCGATCCGTCGACCGCCCTGGCAGAATCCCCCGTTCCAGACACTCGCCGATTCATTTCTATTGATATCCACCCGATATCTTTGATTGACAGACAATCAGGGGTTTGGTTAATAGCAGGGATTTATACCTGACCAAGGCACAATTATACAACACTATTCAACATGGAGTCGCCAGGGCCTAAGCATCCCCGCAATCTCTCCAGATGTAAGATCCCGCATTGAGAGCTACATACATGAGCTTGCTGGATGCTAATGAATACAGCATCACGGCCGCGTAGCTCGACTAGAGGCCCTCTCGCAGGACCAGATGAGTAAGTAGCATCATGCTCCGGGCAATAAGAGACATGCTCATAGTCCAGTCCATTGGCCGACGAAACACTAGAAGCAGATACCTCGGAATTAAAGACAGCAAACATTGGTGAATTGACTGGGGAATCGTTCTATGAGTTAGATCCTCTAGCACCGAATGATCTACCAGAAGCATTAACGAAAGACGTATCGTTCCTCCTTCGATATGACATCTATCATTCCCTTTCACAAGTCGACATTCCACCTGCACTGCGCTCAGAATTTGTCGGCCTGACACCGGATCAACCATTGACCACGACATTAAGCACCGTTGAGAGACTACTAGCCGAAGGCCACTTCATATTAGCCGCGTATCTCTGCGGGTCGATATTAACGTCATCCCTGGTTTCGCCTACAGATATCAGGCTGGTATTTGGCCTCTTCTATACACGACTAGCATGTCTAGAGCTATCTGGCCATGCAATCATCGCAGCCCAAGAATCCAAAGCCCTCGAAGACCTCACCTCTACATTCTACTATGTGGATCTCAACCACGACGCAATATCCGATGTTACCCCCGACCAAAATAATCCCAAACACCTCCGCCATATAGTTCCATGGCCATTGCGCGTCCTTGCCGTTCGACTCCAGAGCATCGGATTTGGTGACTCACGGAGAAGTATTGGCGGTCTATACGAACTCGGGTTGGAAGCATGGAGGGAAATAATGCAGCCAGAGCTAAGTCGGGACGAAAAGGTGATATGGAAGGAGAGGCTAGCGGATCTGGGTGTCCGAAGTGTGAATGCGCTCGTTGAGATGGGTGACTATGATTCTGCTAAGCGGTCACTTCATAAATTGCGCACGTCTGGAAAGGCGAATGATGGGAATAGATCAAGGAAAGTGCTCTTGTTCCTTGCGATGGGTGATCTGGATGGTGCGGAGGAGGTCTTTAGCGAGTCGGATGAAAACGAGAAGGCTTTGTTCAAGCCGCTTCTTAGCATGGCGGAGGGCAACTACAAAGATTCTCTGGTTGAATGGCGGGCGTTGCTAGAGAGTCAACCCAAGAGACCTGACGAGGCGATTATCAATCAGAACCTGGCGGTGTGTTTATTGTATACAGGGCAATTGAACGAGGTATGTTGACTTTGCCCTAGGGGGTGGATACGACTGACATTTCTAGTCCCGGACACTATTCGAATCATTAGTTTCCGCGAACCACTCTTTCAGCAGCTTGGTATTCAACATGTCGACCGTCTACGAACTTTGTTCTGATAAATCAGGACAAATGAAAGCAGGGCTTGTAGAGACTGTTGCTCGACAACCCATTTCAGGACACACCAACTTGGATCGATCTAATGCTGATTTCAAATTGTGATGTCTCGAATTGAGAAATGTATTCTATGCTTAGCTGTGCGGTCTTGACGATGACATGAATATAATGAATTGACGCTATAATCATGAATGCTACAAATAGACTTCCCTAAACACCATCCCTAACGCCTCGTATGCAATACCCCAACAAAATCAAGGCTTCGCACTCTCCGTGATCGGGTCGAGCTTCTTCTCAGGCTTCCGCTTCGGCCTCTTAATGATAATCTTCTCCCCCTCCTTCTCCCAACCAATCTTCTCGGTCTCAACCAGCCTCTCCCACGTCCAACCATTCTCCCCCGTACACCCTTCCAGAACCCAACTAGCCTCGACGTTGATATACGCACTCCCCACAGCCTTCAGCGCCTGCCTCCTAACCCGATCCCCAGCCCAATTGATCACATTCCGCATATAAGAATCTACCCCGTTCCGAACCTTCCAGAACACGAACCAATTATCTTGTAACAGAGCTGATAGAAGACGGTCAACGGTTTTTGACTGGAACTCGTAGCGTCTCCGTGCGTGGGCCCGCAACTCAAACGCAGCGATCATGTTATCCTCACGACAGGCGTAGTCCAAAATGAGATAGGTGATAAACTCCCTCAATTCAGACTCGGGCAGCGGATACGACGACCTGTGTAGTGTGTCTATTAGATAGTGGAGGGAAGGAACGTATGAGGGCGGGTGCTGAGCGAGGATGGCGACACGGACAGAGAACACATAGACCCTCTGCGAAAAGTCCACGGGCGTGCGGGAGTCGGAGGATATCACCGCCTCTCGAAGTTTGCGGAGGGCGAGCAAAAGATTCGACAATTCAGTAGCTGCTGATGGACCAGGACTGGGAGCATTTGGTCCTTTTGTGGTGGTGGCAGGACGACTTGAGATGGGCGGGTTCCTGGTTGCGTCGGAGGAGGGACCGGTGGGGAGGGAAGCCATTGCGGCGTCTAGGTCTTTGTCATAGTGGGCGCAGAAGGATAGGTATCGCTCAACGATCTTGTCAAAGTATTCCTGTTGTAGCTTATGATCAAGGAGTCTTCATGTTCTTCCCGGTCAGCTTACTGCCCTGCAGTACAGAGGATAGACATGCGGGGCATACTTGTGATCGCCTTTGGACACAAACCCCACGGATTCCAATGGATCTGTGCGAACTGGTTTCAAACGGTTTCCGGCCTTCTTCCCCATAGCCTTGGCCTTACCAGCCATCATGATGGATATCTATAACAAAACCGTTGGGAATGAAGATAATGATGGAGACGGAGTGGTGCTCGGAGGAAACATCGGGATCGACAACCGCATGTTTGACGTCGCGTGTTTGCCCTGTTTGCATAATCTATACACTATACCGAGGTTCCCAACGCCCAACACTTTGTTGCAATTCATTTTCAACTCTTATATTCTCATCTGCTGGTAATTTTGAATTTCATCGACCAGGAACATTTACCCGGCACAATGCCCCGCCAACGCAAACAAAACACCACCCAACCAACCGCCATCGCCGCGGAAGTCCTCTCACGACCCCCCAAAGCCCTCAAAAAGCTGCTTCACTGGAACGACCTCCCAAGCTGGCAACGCGACAACCACCACATCCACACAGGTTACCGACCAGCCTCCTTCTCCTTCCTAATCTCCTTTCAGTCGCTCACCTACTTGCACAACGAGACCGTCAACATATACACCCACCTCCTTCCAGCATTCATAACAATCCCATCCGCAATCGTCCTGCACAATGCCATCGCCTTGCGGTATGAAACAGCAACGCAAGCTGATATAATTGCGTTTAGCTTTTTCTTTGCAGGTGCCGCAGCATGTCTGGGCATGTCAGCGACATACCATACGATATCAAACCACTCTCCGCTCATCGCGCGCATCGGAAACACATTTGATTACATCGGTATCGTGGGATTAATCGTCGGCTCTTTTGTCCCCAGTATATATTACGGCTTCTATTGCGATTCAGGCCTGCAGAAATTCTACTGGACTATGATCTGCACAATCGGGCTGGGCTGCATCATCGTCTCGATCTTCCCACAATTCCGCACGCCGAAGTGGCGGCCTTTCCGCGCATCCATGTTCGTGGGGATGGGGTTGTCGGCTGTATTTCCCGTCCTGCACGGATTGCAACTATTTGGGTTGGAGATGATGAACAAGCAGATTGGACTTGTGTGGCTGGTGATGCAGGGAGGATTGTATATCCTAGGTGCGGGGATATACGCGGCGCGCGTGCCAGAGAGGTTATATCCTGGCGGGTTCGATATCCTGGGCCATTCGCACCAGATATTCCATGTACTGGTTGTATGTGCAGCGGGTACGCATTTGATGGGATTGCTGAGGGCATTTGACTATCGGCATAGTGTTGCAGGTGATTGCATTGGGATGTAAGCAGCAGAATAGCATGCATAGACTATACGGTGTACCCTTGTATAGAATCCTGGTATACAAAAGCAGTAGTATTAGTCCATTCTGAAATAATCAGCATCTGTACTCTGTAGTCCAAATCTAAATCACTGCACGCCATAGACCACTCGTTATGTACTGTATGCACTCCACACTAGTACTCGGCGTTATCTAACCGAACACCTCGGCACTCCGTCGCATTCCATCTATATTAACTACCCCCAACACCTACTCTATCATAAACACTCTTTGTACACTCTACGAACAAAAAGCAAAATGTCCCAACGACTCACCCAACTAACCCACCAACTAAACTACCCCTCCGGCCTACTAGCCAGCAAAACCGCCATCGTCACCGGCGGCGGCCAAGGCATCGGCGCCGAAATCGCGCGCCTGTTCGCGAACGAAGGTGCTAAGGTTGTCATTGCTGATATTGACGGTGGTGCGTATCATTCTTGGCATAGCAGATTGCGCCTGTAGATGCTAATGGGGGTCGTATAGGAAAGGCAAATGCAACCGCAGAAGCCATCACCGCGAACGGTGGAAAGGCCATCGCTGTTGTTGGGGATATACTCGATGACGGGTATATCCAGGGATTGGTGAAGAAAACAGCGGAGTTTGGGGATGGAAAAGTCCACCTTATTGTGAACAATGCGGGGTTTACGTGGGATGGGGTTATTCATAAGGTACTTCCTAACTCCTAATATTCTACGCGGTGGTGATGGTGGCTAATGTGATGATAGATGACTGACAAACAATGGGAAACAATGCTGGCAATCCACAACACAGCCCCATTTAAGCTCGTCCGTGCCGCGGCCCCATACTTCCGGGTCAAAGACGGCGAGGACCGTGTCATCGTGAACATCAGCAGCACCAGTGGGATCCACGGGAATGCGTACGTCTACCCAACCACCAACCCAACACCTTACAAGCAAACACTTTACTAACAAGAATTGTACTACGTGCAGAGGCCAGGCAAACTACGCTGTCGCAAAGGCCGGCACCGTAGGCCTTACCAAAACCATCGCCAAAGAATGGGGCCCCGCCTTCAACGTGCGCTCTAACACAGTCGCCTTCGGTTTCGTCAAGACCCGTCTTACAGCCGCCAAAGAAGACGGCGCATACGTGACCACGCCTGATGGGACGAAGGTTGCGCTGGGGATTCCCGGGAAGCAGCTACAGAACCGCCAAGGAGGTGGAGGAGGAGCGAGCGGAGGGAAAGGAGGGGACGAGTATCCGGATATTCCGCTGCGACGGCCTGCTAGTCCCGAGGAGGCGGCGAGGGCTGTGCTGGCGGTCGCTAGCCCGTTGTTTTCGTATGTGAGTGGTGAGACGATTCGGGTTACGGGGGGGAGGAATATGTAGGTTAATTGCAATAGTTGCGTTGCATTTACTTTGTTAGCAATATCAATATTATTACTCCAGTACAGAGGGGCAGAGGGGTTGCGTGTTTCGGATGCCTCGAATTAAGTGCACAATATTCAAGCGAGTCAGCTGGCACAGTCATCTGCGTCGAATCTAGACCGGGGAGATTATTGATGTCTGGACACGAGGTAATCGCAGGGAAGCGCCCGATCTGATGCCCAACCCCAGCCGTTTAATTAACAGGATACCCTCGACTCGAGTGCGTGTTGATAACAGTGGCGATTGGTAGCCTTTCATGATCAGCTGCCTCACCCAGCATGTATGTATATGTATGTATGTGTTGATGGGTGTATGCGCATGCATCTATTAACAGTAGTAGTGGTGTAATGCTGTATGTTGTATGGACAATCAATCGTATGTATGTCGTACTCTGTACAGTAAGTATAGTATGATAGGTGTAAATCTCGTTTCTCATCAACCGGACCGTGTTCAAACACTCCTTTCGCACCTCATCACACTAACCAAAGAACATCTGCATGTTGCAGATCTCGAAGAAGTTCGAATCAGAACACTCCAACCCAAGGTATCGTATCATCAACCCAAAACAAACCGCGCCAAACCGTGATATCGACAAGAATAGATAAAAGAGAAGAGAAAAACAAAAATGGTATATGCAGAATGTTCCATCTTTGTCCGGGGTATTTTTCTTTTTTCGTCTCTGAGAATAAAAAAACACCGGGTCATTCCAAGTCAATCAACGTCACATATGTACCACAAAAAGAAGTAAAATGGTTTAAAAAAAAAAAACCAAACCGTCATGACACCCTGTACAATACCACCATAAACCGAAAAATCAAGGCAACCTCCCAAAATTGAAACAGAAACCACAAAGACGACATATTAAAAAAGGAAATCCGACTGCGGATGCGGCACCAACAGAAACTGAGGGTCCAAAATGCGGGTCGAATATATCCAGGATTGCATCCGGTATGTGGCCAAAAAAAGAAGAAAACCGAAAAAAAAGCAGGCCAAAGAAAAACAAACCCGACCACCGAGGCTTTTAAAATAGCCAACAAAACAAGAGGTTATCAGACACCAACCCACCAGATGCAAGTGCGCCAACAAATTCAAGACAGCGCCGTAGAGCCAAACAAAATAACCAAACACCAGACACCTGGCGTATTATGCTGGGCATAAATCGTAAATCCTGCGTCAAAAAGGAAATTAAAAGACGTAAACCAAAAGGGAAAAAAAAAAAAAAAGAAATATCAAAACAGCCTAACAGTCTAACAGGCGGAAATGGTGGAAATGGTAGGTCCAAACGGCACGAAAGGCATGTAGAAGGCCTCTGGGTTGTCATCGCACTTGAACATTTCCGATTTGCAAGCAAAGTCCTTGGAGCAGTCCATGTCCGGACCAAACCCGGCAGCCGATGGCACCGCGGATAAAGCATCCAGATCGGAATAATCCTCAGTCAGGGAAGTGACATCGGAAGCGGCGTCAGAGAAATCAGAGGAGTTGGACGAGGAAGAAGTATCCGATGAGGAAGCGGACGCATGCGAAGCCATAAGAGGTTGAACGGGAACGGATGCCGGAGCCTGGGGGAAGACGAATGGGGGATGCTGAGGAGTAGGAGCACCGTTAGAAACCCACGGCGTAACGGGAGTCATAGTAAACCGCGGACAATCCAGGACCAGCCTGCGCAGCTCCGGGATTGTAACCCTCTGGGCGGGATCACAATCGAAAATGCGACTCAAGACGAAAATCATCTCATTGGACAAGGGAAGGATGGTCTTCAGGAAGAATGGATCCTTAAGGTATGCGCGGAATGTGGGATCCTCAATGGAAGCACGTTTCCATGGATTACGTCCACAGGTCAGGTTGACCAGGATAACCCCCAGGCTCCAGACATCATTAGGGACGGCAGCATAGCAAGTCATGGGACGGGGATTCTGTTGTTGACATTCTTTGGAGAGAATGAGTACGATGTTCAACAAAACAAGACAGGGAAAGGGGACGGGGAGAGGCTACCTGGTGACATGTAAAACGTGGAACCGCAACCAAAATCCGGCGAGAGATAGTCCGTGGTAGCAAGGCCAAAATCGGCCAATTTAACCGTCATGCCCTGGTCGGTGACTAGAATGTTCTCCGGCTTGAGATCCCGATGGTAAATTCCCAAGGAGTGGCAGAATTGAACAGCATCCAGGATCTGGAGGAAAGTGCGCTTGACCAGGGCATCATTTCCGACAAAGAAACCCTTGTCGGTAATGGAAGAAAAGAGATCACCCTCGGGGCAGTAATCAAGGACCACATAGGTACAATCCGGGGCATCCATGATGCTAACGAGAGAAACGACATTGGGATGCTGGCTGGCCATATGGTGCAATCTGATCTCCCGTTGTTGGTACTTGAGCTGGCGGGGGTCTCCGGTCTTGTTGAGGGCCTTCACGGCATACATGACCTGGGTGTGGATGTCGATAGCAGTGTAAACAACCCCATAGGCGCCAACACCCAGGATCCCAGTCAGTTTTAGACGGTTGGCCAGCAGTATTCCCAATCGGTCTTCAGGCGCGACCGGTCTGGCGACGGTGGGCGGTGATGGTGGCGGAGTCGGGAGAGCGGTAGGGTACATGGTGTATAGAGGAGATGGGGGAAGCATGGCGTATCCTAGGGAAGAACTCCTGGCTAGAATATAAGAGAGAAAAGCAAGAGAGAAATAGAGAAAAATCCAGGAATATCCAATGGGTCGAATATATCCAATCCAATCCAGTGGCAGGTTCCAATCAATGATCCACGGGAGGTAAAAGCAGTCTTTGAATCCTGTTCTTGTAGTTTCTTCTTTCCTTCTTTCTTTTGTTTCTTTTTTTTTTTTTTTAAAGATTCATATAGGAGAGCAATAAATATCCAGGAGATCCAGCAAATATCCAAGGAAATCCACGGGTCGAATAAAGAGGCACCTTATGTGTTGTTGGGTGGTGATGGTAGTGTTGGTTTGTTGTTATTGTTGTTGTCGTTGTTGTATGGGGAGATGAGAGGATTATGTGATAAGGAGGGGATATATGCAGAAGAACAGCAAAAGAAAAAGAGACAAGCAGTAAAGAAAATGGACAGGAAAGAAAATCGCGACGATTAAGAAATATGAGGAAGAATTAAGAAGAATAAAAGAAGCAGCAGGAGAAATAAAAGGATTGGCAATAAGCCAAATAATACTAGTACAATTCTCGACCCGCCTCGTGGTGGGCGATGCGGGTCCACCGTCAGTGTATTACCGGTACTGGGCGCTGACTCAGCTGTCAGGAAAATACCAGAACAGGTCAGTTACATCTGGGCCGATCGCGGACCGCCAATCAGGAGAGGGCATCTGCCGTGTATGATGCTTCGACTGGGCCGTGCGTGGGGCAGGATATTCATAGTCTGTACGGAATACATAAGGGATAGAGTAGAATAACACAATAATATAATAGAATACAATGGAATAATAAACACCAGAGTTCATTCTATACTACTCTGTACATATGAAATAGTAGAATAAGTGCCTGTACACAACATTGTAAGAATACAGAATACTATCACATATGAGTACTATGAGCACAGTGGCTGTGACCACTAACGTACACTACCGCTGCTGCAGCGCAGGGGCCCCAAACAGAATCCCTGGCGGTGTGTGTGACACTCCATCTGCGGCTGAGTAATCACGACAGGAATAGTTTGCTTTGAACAAAGAATGGTAACTCTAACACTACTAACTACTTGTACAGAGTACGGGGTACTTTACTTGTTGCCAGCTCAGCTCGCCCCCTCATTTTCTCCGAGGACGGAGCACAGCCAGTCAGTCATAAACTCACTACTACTCCGTATACAATCAAGTATGAGTGAGGCTAGGCCACGTTGCACCCCCCTTCGACCCCCTGATTGGCTCGTCACCCACGGGGCAGCCCTGTTCTCAGCCTTGCCTTTTTATAGCCGGAGACTTTGTTATTGGTCAGCGTAGCCAACTAACCTAGGGGGATTGGGGGAGGGGGGTTCTTTGTGCTGGACCGAGTACATATGAAGTGTCGAGTAAAATGGAACCATATGATATAACTCATACTCTACAAGTAATAGAGTAAGCAAGGTAGAATCCTCACATGCAGCTCTGTATACTTATCCTGACACATACTCTGACCGCGCACGGCTCATCCAACGGCTCCTGTGAGTTACGATCATCTTCCCGAATTCTTCCACTTTCGTTGTCATACCTCATGATCATTGTGTTATACAGCGTACGGAGTATACAGGGTTCGGAGTATAATAGAGCGCTAGATATCCATATCTTGCCACCCATGGTTCACTCGGGCGCGGTTCTCCCATCGATGCGTCAGTGGCGCAGTGGCAACCAACCATTACTTCCGCCTGTTCGTTCCAGACAAAGAGAAAGAAAGAAAATAGAAGTTTTATGCCATTATCTAATTATGTACGAGCACAAAAATGTACACATCAATTCTTAGGCCGCAAAATAAACGGATGTCGCAACGCCTCCGTCGGTGTGCACCGTTTCTCCGGATTCAGGCTCAGGCACCGCTCCAACAGATCCACAAACAGATTCAATTCCTTCGCCTCCCCGTCACTCAGCCTCGTGTCATGACCCATCAACCTCGTCTTTAGATCCCGCGTTGGTTTCTTGAAGTCCAGCACCCGCGTCACAATTCTCCCGGTCACCTTGTCCTCTTCCGTACTCCGGAAATTGAGCATGTCGTCAAAGTGCAGGTGCGCCAGGGTGCCCCGTCGCAGCAACTTCGGCGGGTATTTGCCACGGCATTCCATAATTGACCGTAGCATTTGATTGTTGTTTCGGCCCGTAAACAGAATTTTGCCCGTGTACAGCTCAAATAGCGTACAGCCAATCGACCACATGTCGATCCCGTAGTCGTAGGGAATCCCGAGGATAACCTCCGGTGCCCGGTAGAAACGGCTGACCAGGTACGGTGTAATTTCGTTGTCGGACACCGGCGACGCCGATCCTAGGTCGCACACTTTAAGGACATTGCGTTGTTCGTTCACCAGGAGATTGTCCGGTTTCAGATCCGCATGCAGAATGTTGCACTTGCGCATCAGGCTCAGCCCAAGGAAGATCTGGTGCGCATACGCCCGGATGGCTCGGAGATTGAGGCCCACATCTCGTCCAAACTTCTTCAATACCTCTCGCAGGTTCATGCTGAGATTTTCAAACACCATGCATAGATGGCCTTTGTGGTCAAAGTACCGCACGAACTTGATCATGTGCTTCTTATCTTCAGGATCCGCCTCCATCAACTGTTCCAGAATGCCAATCTCTTTCATACCTGCCTTCTTCATCGTATCATTCTGTCGAATGATCTTGACCGCAACCAGTCCGCCCGTTTTGGAATCCGTAGCTCGCACAACAGACGAAAACATCCCCTTACCCAAATTCTGCTGCACATGGTACCGGCCGTTGATAAGCTCACCAAGTCGGACATTGTAATACCCTTCAGGGTCGTCCCAGTTGTCCATCATGCTGATGTCTAGCTCCTGCGGTTGAGGTACAGCCGCTGCATGCGCCGAATTTGTTGGTTCCTGCGTTTCCTCGGCAAACATATCATCGTCATCTTCCGCAAACATATCGTAGGGATCTTTCGTCCTAGCCGGTGCAGGTGGATTTTCAGTCACATCAGGCATCAGAATCTCTTGCTTATCAGGCTGCGTCTCGTCATACGCGGCCGATGAGGTTTCCTGACTAGGGCCGTGTTTCTCTCGATCTTCTTTCATATCAAAAGTCGGATCGTAGTCTGCTGCCGATGGTTCGTCCTTTTCAACACCATCTACAGGTGCAGTGTCGTTAATCAAATCGGCATCCTTGCCAACCTCGAAATCCGGGAATGGATCTGCCGTGTTTTCACTGGGTGTCTGGACGGGGGTTAACTGAGGAGAAACTGTATGAGACGTTAGCATTTTCAACTCATCACCTACAAAAAAAAAAAAGATCATGCTTACCCGATGCAGTCTGGCTTGCACTAGCACGGTTTGAATCTGCGCCTGGTGTCGAAGAGTCGGAGTCCCCGGCGTGGACTGCCTGCAGGTGTAGAGGCGTAGCCTGGCTTTTGTATTTCGCTCTGATGGCTTCACGTCGCTTCCGACGGGCTTCCAGTTGAGCTGCTTCGTCGACTGCCTCGGCAGGTTGCTGTTCCTGTGATTCAGTAGGCACACTGGGCTCATCAGTATTGGCTTGACATGTCAATACATAAAGACCTCGAACGACATACCTATCTACAACACGAGAGCTAGCATGAGAAGCCTGTTGCTGAACCTGGTTCTCCCGAATTTCAGCATCTTGTTTAGAAGTCTGAGCGACGAATCGAACGCTTCCTCGTTCGCTCACTAACTGTTCAGTAGATGGCCTTCGTTCTTTGAAGCCTCGCGGGCCTATGCTCCCATTCCACTCATCACCGGAATATTGCTTGGGTCTCCTAACTTCGTGGTACGAATCACGGTACGGGGATCGACTCCGGTGCCGCTTCTCCTCACGACGGTCGTAGTCATCCGTGTATTTCAGACCACCGCCATATCCTTCTTCCCGATCATAGTCGTAGTAGGAGTTAGATCGCCTATGATATCTGCCATCGTGCCTCTGTCCTGCACGCTGTCGCGGTGGCGGCGGCGGCTCCTGCCGATAGTATCGTCTGTCGTCATAATAATCATCCTCCCGCCTGCGTTTATTTCCTCTGTAGTTTCGATAAGGGGAGCAGGAACGGCTTCTCGATGATCGCGATGTTCTGGATCTGGATCTTCGCCGGCGTGGCGATCGACTAGTACTCAGGGATGTTGGCGATCGGGACCTGGGCGCCGAAGAGGTACTGACTCTGGTTTTACGGTCAACGTTGGTGTCATTAAGAGAAGTTTTTGACGTAGTTGCCTTCATCTCCAAACCTGATTCGATGATCTCACCCTCAGAAGGGGTCGATGGAGACTTTGACCTGTATGATGCCATGGCCACAGGTACTCAGACTCAGAACTTCCTTTGTAACCAATAGTCTAGGAGTTCTTCTTGAAGAAACAAAACGGGAAAGACACCAGCTCGGTTAGCAAAAGCTGCCACGATAACAAGTTCTGGGGAATGGTGTATTGGAAAAGTCCAACCGGCTAGAAATGTCTGCCTTTATTCCAGTCCCTCGCGTTTTCTTGTTGTAAAATCCGACCGCGGCTAAACAATGGGCCGTAAAAGTGTATCAAATTGAGTTAACTGATGATATATGGACGATGGACGGAGAGATGAGCAGACTTCCGATGACCGAAGATAGACCGGCAAAGCAAAGCATCTCTGGTCAGTAAGATTTGCCGTAGATATTTACAATCTAGCTTTATCAGGGATAGTGCCCCACCCTGCGGGCGGAAACATGGTCGGTCGCTGATAAGCATCTTTTTTCTCATTTTTTTTTTTTCTCCCTACCCCCGATTATTTGCGACAAACTCCACAGAATCCCCTCATATCCCTCCTTCTTCTTATAACACACAGCATACAAAATGGGTGGTCAAGGCAGAGAAGGTTAGCGAACTAATGCGCATAACTCCCAACTCAGTCGGAAACTAGCTAACGTTATATCTGCTTACTAGGCGGCAAGGTCAAGCCCCTTAAGGCTCCTAAGAAGTCGCAGAAGGACCTCGATGAAGATGACATGGCGTTCAAGGAAAAGCAAAAAGCCGGTAAGTTTTTGCGCTGTTGACGTCTATGTTGCGATCATGGAGGCAATCTGTTAACCTGTGTTGGAAAATTCAGACGCCAAGGCGAAGAAGGATTTGCTAGACAAGGCCAAGGGCAAGGGTCCTTTGAACACGGGCTCCCAGGGTATTAAGAAGTCGGGAAAGAAATAAAATTGATACCCAGCGTTGTTTTATACTCAAGAATCACGATACTACGAGTTACGGACGAGCATAGGCATAATGGAGTACCAATCGCATTATTTGCTACGGCGATTGAGCAAGTTCTCTTGGTATATACGTACAGGCCAACGCACCTTTCGCATTTCTATGAAAAGAGAGCCACAAGTCTTATAGAAAATAATGGTTTTGTACTCCGTACATTTTGCCCTTCAACATAAAACCAGATGACATTTTTCCAGGCATGTCTTGGGTAGAATGAAAAAGAAAAAATGGCTCTCCTAGATAACAAAAAGACAAATCGGGTATCACCAACGCCTCTCCATATCGCAAAGGAAGGCCAACAAGCTCCGCAAGCTCCCCCAAAAGAAATAAGATCAAGTAAAAGAAGGAATTCGTTGTTTGCATCATTTTTGAAATAGAAGAAGGGTATCAGTGGGTAGGAAGATAGATAAGATTATGGTCCAGCCAGCAAAAACATCCACTGATGGGAGGTAAGGTAAAGTGAGGACAACGAAGGAATTAATAATAGGAATCCAGGGCCCTCAGCTAGTCACCCGTTTAACCCATAGACCAGTCCCGCCGCCGTAGAGATCCTGGTCATCGCGTTTCTTCCAAGCTCGGAGAAGTTTCAAACCAACATCGTGCTCTTCTCTAACAATACCTGCAAGCTCGTTGTTAAGATGGGCAATTGTTTTCTTGACTTCCTCTCGAGCAGCCATATCATACGCCGTCGAGGTGGGTTGAAACACCTGGTTCAGTTCGCTGATTATTGTAGTAATGTTGGTTTTCCGCCGCGCGAGCGTACCCTGACGTTCTTCCAATGTCTCTATGCGACTCTTTGGCTGTTGGTGCTCCTGTGGAGGAACGGGCGAAAGGCCTTTAGCTGCTGCTTCTGCTGCCGCCTGGGTTGGAGTAGGCTTTCGGAGTGGCTTCCTTCCCGGGGCCATTGTGCTGGGAACTGGTCGTTTCCTGGACATGATTGATAAATCATTCTCGATCGATTGCTGTGACGCGCTTTCGAAGCTGTCCGCTATGCTGGCTGGGGCTGGAGAACTGGTCCTACTATTCTCCATTCTTGCAGAGATGTCCGTTGCAGCGCTGGAGCGACTCATGGGGAACTCTGGTTGGTCTGGCTGGTGTTCGTCGCTGGTAGGAAACGTGTCAGTAGTAGGAGTAGGAGCAGTTAATTTGAATTCAGCCAGCGAAGTGCCCAGATTAGACATTGGCAGGTCAACTCGTGGCGGAGTGCTATTCTTGTAGCCTTCAGATACCGGCAGCTGTGAGCCTGCACTGGCGCTAGGAGCCCTGCTCCTGCTAGTTGATTGCTTCCGAAAACCTGCAGGCTTTTCCTGGGCTGTGATTGTGGTAACCACCGACGGCTGGAGGCGAGTTGTGGAGTCAGGTGCTTGGTCATACTCCCCTAGCCGGTCAAAGCTTCTGGAAGGATGCAAACGTGACGACGACCTTGCTCGGGACTTCTCGTGAATTGGACTCATTATGGGCGCCCGTCCACTGGGCCCCCTCCATGGTTCGCTAGCAACGAAGGGGGACTCATCATCATTTTGTCTCGCAATCCGACTACGCACCTCTGCGAATTTCTTCTTCGGCTGAAGCTGTTCCTTGCCCCAACTCAAGACGCGGGACGAATGACCGCCGAACTTGCCGGAGTTCTCGCGACTGTGATTGGATAACATGTAAGATCGTTCGGAGTTCGGTTCGAAATTCTCCTTGCGCGCGTCCTTGCGCAAAGTCGGGATGTGGCTGGTGAATTTCGTTTCCATTTGTTCAGCCTTGATACTGTCGTGTTGCGGTTCCTCTTCAATCGGCGAAATCTGAGCGCTGCCCCTACTGTCCAACCCGCGATTCAAAGAGTTCGGGGTGCCGGGAGGGGAGATATCTGGCGACGCAAGGTCACTATTATTCGGATCGCGATCGAAGTCAGGTTGGTCTGAGGGAAATTGAGAAGCGGTACTGCTCGCACGATGACGCGGGGATTCGGTCGCTGCGAACCTTGTAAACGTGGCAGAGGCGCTCCGAGGCTTCGAATCGGGGCCTCTTCCGGGATGGGAGAGTTTTGGATCTTCGCTGGAAGCTGTTAGTGTCTTTCTTTTCCCTTTCTCTTTCCTTTTTATGTTTGTCTCATCCGTAGACTATTTTCCAACTTACTTTGGCAATTCCGGTAGATCCTTTGAATAGTATCCCTGATCTCCCGATAGTGTGCTTGAAGATCGGTTTGGAGACTGATAGTCTCTTTGATTCAAAGAACTGGTGTTCGTCGTCGAATTCTCAATCGTAGTAGACTTCTTTGCCCAATGAAAAGGCACTTTAGCCCACATGACGAGATTTGAGTAGAAACTGATTCAGAAAAGTAAGAGGGTGGTCGAACTAGTTATAAGTATAGCTGGTGATTTCACGCTGTCCTCACCAGCACTCATAGTGACATACCTCTCGGGACTTTAGGTCGCTATGATGGCCTCGATTACCATCACCCGAAGATATGCATCCAGCAGGTTACACTGCCAATCAAAGAATGTATGCGAATGTATGGGATTTGCCAAAAGACGAATCTCAGATGCGTTCTTTCGAGACAAGTCGAGAGAGGTAAAAGAGTATGAGAAAAACAGAGACACGGTTATATAAAATGAGACAAAAAAAGATGAAAGAGAGAAAGAAAGGAAGAAATTCGGACGATTAAGTTTGAAAGAGATATGAAACGAGCGACTTGGGCGAACGAGAGACTACTAAACCAGTATGTCTGACTGGGGGCTGTGGGCGTGGGGATCAATGAGGTTGGTCGTAATGCCTTGCCAGAAGGATTCAATGTGACAGCGTCATCGTGGCAAGGAAAGGAAAAGAAAAGATCTCTTTCTCTTGCGAATTGAAATGAAAGTAACAAAAGGACCCTCCAAAATAGCAGGAGTTAATTAAACACTGCGATAAATTTAGACTTGTTTATGCCTGAGGCCCCCGCATGGTACTACAATGCCGCGGCATCGGTAGTTGAGCCATCAAGTGACAATATACTCACGTGCCGTTGCAATGGCGGGGAGTCGGGGAATCTTTCCCGATTCAGCATTATCAATACAGCCGGCACTGGACTCCGCGCTGCCAGAAGCGCCTCGGTCTTTCGTCATCACGGTTATTATCAACGCCCTCGCTCCGTTCCGCTCTCATTTTTCGTCTATTTTTTTTTTCTGTCAAGCCAAAGCCAAGCGTTGCTTCAGACAATCTCCAACAATCTGCATAATGAGCGCAGCAGGTATGCCAATTGAAATCAAGCTAAAGCTAGCTACAATAGCTAATGTGTTCATACAGAAGAGCCCGTTCCATCGCCAACCGAAGCGTAAGCATGAATATCCAAGAAAGCCCATCCAGGAAGAACGACAAGGCGAACTAACCAAAAACGCCTTAGGATCCCATTCTTCACTCCCGTTAACTTCATTCTCTTGTCCGTCTTTGTCGTTTTCCTCTACGTGCAGCTCCGCCCCAAGGCCCCCGTCACCCTGCCCCAAGGTCCACCCCCAGTCGTCTTCCGCACTTTCATCCCCTCAACACTCATCGAATTCAATGGTGAGGGCGAAAACCCTTGTTACCTTGCCGTGCGGGGCCGTGTTTTCGATGTAACGCCAGGAAAGAGCTTTTACGGGCCGGTAAGTTGCTCTTGCAAAACAGCGGGATATGAGTGGCCAGATGATTAACGGAGGATTTTGTCGATCTTAGGGCGGCCCCTACGAGAACTTTGCCGGACGCGACGCTTCGCGCGGGTTGGCCTTTCAGAGTTTTGATAGGGATATGCTCACTGAGGATCTCAAGGGACCTTTGGATGACCTGAAAGATCTCAATGAGGACCAGTTGGAAAACCTCCAGAACTGGGAGGAGCGATTTCTTGAGAAGTATTTGGTTGTTGGGAAACTAGTCGCTGAAGGTGATCCGGAGGCTCCGAAGTCATAAAATGAGCTTGGCCTGGCCCTGGTTTGGCTTCACTCGATATGTCATCTACAAAGATGCCGTTAGATGTGTCGTATATGGCGGCCATATCACCTGCCTATGTGTCAAAAATTTGTTTCCATAACCCAATTTGGTTCATGTACAAGCGACAATTTTATCAATTTACTTTTCTAGGCAACTAAACCAGGCCACACTGTAAAGAACGATTCAACCATAATTCACAAAATAATTATACAATTTCCCCCATAATGCCCTAGCTAGTAATGAGAGCATTCATTATAATAGACACTACCCATGAGCCCCGAAATCGTAAACATCATAAATCCAGAAATACATATCGAACAGGTTTTGACCCCAACGATCCAAAAATATCATAGGAAAAAGCGTTACAGCTCGGAGCGAATACCACTAACCGCCTCCGAAGACCTATCCTTCGCCTTCTCCGCAACTTCCTGTCCCTGAACTCTTCCACTCGAAGCCCCGATCTTTAGCTGATCCAGGAGCCATTGGTACGTATCCTGGAACTTGGCATACAAAGTGCCCTGAGAAGAGGTAGTTCCGTACTTGAAGTACTGGGAGTTACGACGAGCAGTTGCCTTCAGCTCATTGGCGTTAGAGCCCTGGTAGACGGGAATACCAAATGAATCAAGGTAGGCTTTGAGTTCGGAGTGGGACCAGGTGTCGAAGGTGTCATCCTTGGCCGATTGGGTGGCTTGCGCCATGTAGGAGGTAGCAGAGGCCAGGTTTTGGCCTCCAGCCTTGGAGGCTTTGGAGTAGGCATCCTGGGCTTGTCTCATGAGGTCGTCACGGGTGGAGTCGGCGCGCTGCGCTGCCTTGGCGTTCATCGAAGTCAGATATTGCCTACAGATATGATTAGATGGGCGTTGAATGATAAAACAATCGGCATCAACTTACTTCAAATGTTCAATGTCCCAGGTCTCAAAAGTCCAGGCGTTCCAGGCACTGGCGGCTTTGTTTTTATTTGCCCTAACCTTTGCCAACAGCTCATCACGCTTGGTCGCCTGCGAGACAGAGATTCCCCGTGCATCCAGATATGCCTTGAGGCGTGAGTTGGACCAGTTCTGAACAGCAGCATCAAAAGCTTCCTGAACCTTGCTCTCGGCATCATCAGTTGCCTGTGCGTAATCGTTTCCAGCCTTGGTAGTAGCGGCTCCCACAAGACGTGAAGCTGACGCCGAAGCCGTAGATGCTTGGCTCAGCAGGGAGGCGCGGTTCTTCCTCGCCAAAGCGATCATTTCATTACGTCTGGAACCCTGCGGCACTGGAATTGCATGCTCATCCAGGAATTTCTTCAGGTCGGAATCAGACCACGCGCTGAACAATGCATCGCTCAAGGTGGCCTGAGCTGCATCAGCAGAAGCAGATGCGGAGGCAGCAATGGTCCGAGCTTGGATACTGGCTAATCTAGCATTGCGACGCACGGAAGCAATGAGCTTGTCACGGGTCGATGGTTGAGGCACAGGCCATCCACGCTCATCAAGCCATTCCTTCAGCTCGGACTCGCTCCATGTAGCGAAGAGCCAGTTACCAGGGTAGGAAGCTTTCTCGCCAAGTTTCTTCGCAATAGGCTCGTAATTTTCACGGGCAGTGCTAATAAGGACGTCCCGCTTGCGTGGCTGAGGGACCGGAACGCCATGCCGGTCGAGGAACGCCTTGATCTGGGAGTCGGACCAGCTGTTGAGACAATGAGTAATGGTTCAACGCTTCGCTCGGGGATGAGTTAACTCACCTATCGAAAACCCATTCCCTGGCGTGATGCCACTGGTCTGAGGCCTGCTCGGAGACATGTCCGAGTGGCTTTTGGACTTTGTCGTCCCAATTCGTTTTCACCAAACCCTCAAGATCTCTGCGATCCGCAGGCGAGGGATACGGAATATCGTGGTCAGAGAGCCACCGTTCTAGCTCTGTTTCATGCCATCCATTGTACACTGTAAGGCTATGTTATCAACCAATTGAGTCCTACGTAGAAGGGGAAGTACAAATTCTAGTTTGTGTACATACCAGCTTTGCTGAACCAGTTGGCCGCCTCTGTGGTCGCAAGGAGCAACACCAAGCTGGAAGCCCAGTTGAATCTCATCTTGGCGCAGTGTTTGTGCCTCTATTTGAGGGCTTTTATAGCAAATATAGCTTTCGCTTTCACAGTCCTGACTGAGAGTGTTTACACAGTCAATCATCCGAGAAGCTCCAATGAGAGATAAGGGGATGTAGCACTCACGGATATATAACCTAGCTAAGTATTCCCAGCTAGAATTAGTTCATGGCAAAATACATAGAAGAAATGGCAGCGGTGGCAGTTAAGTATGAAGAGTGGATGATCAGAAAGTGACGTATTGCTGTTGTCGCCGGTTTTACGTTTGGTGCTGGCGTCATCGGATGCTTATTTGCAGTGTGGTGGCTTTGTTGTCGCTCTTGACCTTGAACAATGGATCTGCTTCCAGCAGTTGTTGGTCTTCCCCCTCTGGCGGCTTTTGGCCGGTAGGTTTGATAGAATCCCTGGCTGATCACTGGAGAATAACTGATGCCATCGTTTCCTATTTGGGTAAGCAGCTAGAGCTCTTATCTTCACATGACCTAGCGATAAGCACCCAACATGATAAGTCAGGTGACCCAGCGGCACCTGACTGTCCGACAACGCCATCAGATGAGCTGTTGGTGTAGTTTCATTTCTATTCAAGAATCGACTTTCCATGCTGCGACAACTCATCTGCTTCTTCCTTTCATGCTGGCCATGATGTTGGTTTAGTTGTTAAACCTTCTTTATTTGCTTGCTGGTCAAGGCAGATGATCCCCTATCTCATTATCTCCTCTTTTAACGCCATCGTTATCAAGGGTCCCCAGTTCCAAAGTAGCGGTCTCTTTTATCCGTTCTTCCTACCTTCTCTTCTTTCTTTGTGAAGACGAGATATCCTGCTTTAGTTCTGATATTGAGTATAATAGCGCATTTCGTTCTGACCTTTCATCACCCAAAAATGAACAACAACTTAGCCCCCCATTGCGCGGATCTAGCATCCGCTAGTTCTTGGAACTTCGCGCTGTCCATGTATGGCCGATTCTTTCTATATACCTCCAATAATAGGTTGCTAAACAGATTTGGAACGCTATAGTTTGATCCTCATCGGAATCCTTATTTCCTACCTCCCTCAGCATCTCCGCATAATCTCCCTGAAGAGCTCCTTCGGCATCTCTCCTTACTTCGTCCTGTTGGGTACGACGTCTACATCGTCATCTTTAGCAAACATCTTGGTGCTCCCGCGAAGCATTCAGGATGCATCGTGCTGTACGGAGGTTGATGGTTTGAGCTGCTTTTCGGCGTTGCTGGGTATCCTCCAGGTTGGAGTTCAGTGGCTCTGTTTCTTTACCATGTAAGTCAGGGCTGATCCAGTCTTTAAGCCTGGAATAGTATTGACATAGGTGCTTCGATTATAGTCTCGTCCTTTTCGTCATCTACTTTCCACGAGCCATATCGACAACGACCCAAGACACTTCCGAAACATCCTCCAAAGAAGGCGATGGTCCCACATACCGTACTGCCCTAGCTGTAGCAGGCATTTCAATAGTACACATCGTCTTTCTCTTCATCATCTCCCTCGTTTTCGAACTCAGGCACCGCTCGTCACTCCAAGCATGGGCCAATTTCCTAGGCATCCTCGCTGCAGTCCTCTCCTCAATCCAATACTTCCCGCAAATCTACACGACACTCAAGCTCCGGTGCGTGGGCAGCCTAAGCATACCGATGATGTGCATCCAAACGCCCGGGAGCTTGGTTTTCGCAGGAAGTCTAGCAGCGCGACTGGGACCCGAGGGGTGGAGTACTTGGGGGGTTTTTGTTGTGACGGCGTTCCTGCAGGGAACGCTGCTTTTCCTGGCTATATACTTTGAGTATTTTGGTCCGGAGAAGAAGGAGGGTCAGACGCACAGTGCGGATGTTGTTCCGAATGGATCTCTGGAGGATCGCGAGGATCACCAGACTGATGATCAACCATCTGAGGACACTCCACTTCTGCAGAGGCAATTATAAGTTAGCTCAGCCCAGAAAGGTTGGAGACGTTCTGCAGCGAGACATTAAAAGCGATATACACTTTGTTTTAACCATATGAACTTAGGTTTTATATTTACACTCAAAAGATAAGTCTACGAACATTCCCATATCGGACAGTGACAATAAAATGTTAAAGAGATCTACTGTAAACGAAGCCAATCCTGCGAGTAATCAATTGGCTTCTAGAATGAGACTATTATTTCATGCACGGTCGTATCTCCAAAACGGAGTGTAGAGTAAGAACAGCTTAATGATCCTTGATTGTTTGACGCTTCAAATTTTTTCTTCAACCGACTATAGATCCAACATCTGCGATCCCATTTATCCGTAGACCAGGCGGAAGATGTCGTTGAAGACGAAGTAGCTGCCGCTGCCGTCAGGCTGGAGCTGGAAGGTCTGGGTGTAGTTCATGGGGCGCTGCTCCTCGTCGATCTGTATCCCAAGGATTCATGATTAGTTCGAGTACGCGAAAGCATTTTCGGACGGTAGGATATGGGGCCATACCAGAAGAGCACCGGTGACCATGACCAAGATACCGCCCTGCTCGTTGGAAGGCTGAGCGTCAAGGGTCGAAACTTGGTGAGCAACCTTGGCGAAAGGAAGGCTCTGGAACCGAGTCAGCATCGTTCCGCATACATCAGCAAGGTTTCATAAGCAGGCGAACACACAATTAACTTCTCGGCAATGGGACCAGCACCCTGAAGCGACTCGGTCTCAAAGGTGAGCATAGAGTGCTCACGCTGTAGCATTCCAATCGTCAGTATTTTAATCACTTTTCGCAACACCATGTGTTTGTATCCATTGAGGTTTCAGCGTACGTAGAGACCAGAGAGGTTGCCCCGGGCATTGTCGAAGGTGTTGTAGTAGAACTGAACGAACTGCTCTGTTGTTGCGTGACCGTGTCAGATTTTTTATTCCTTCCATCCATGTACTCATCCCTCCACATGTTGCTTCGGTGCCTTATTGATGACAGTGGACAGAGGATCTTACGTACCAGCGATGTTTCTGAAGTCTATAACAAGAAAACGAAATGTATGTTAGCTTAGATCCATATGTATGGTCCTAGATCATTTGCGCATATGCGACTATACTGCATCACAGATTCCAGGCGTGGGGGGAGGCTGAGGAGGGGCAGCAAAACAGAACGAGAGGGCACATTTCGTATCGCGACAAACGAGCTAAAAACTTACCGGCCATTTTGTAGAGAAGAGGACGTGTGTCTGTCTCTGTGTCTGAAATAGATCAAAAAGGACAGAAAAACTAAGGGTATATATGAATGTGATGCGAAATGAGAGGAGAAGAGAAAAGAGAGGAGAGGGCAGTGATTGCATTTGGCGGAGTTGTGGGGCAGAAAAGAAACGCCCAACAGAAAAGCATAATTAGCTGCCGTATAGATTGTAAAATATAAACTATCATTATTCTCATGATCCGCACAATATAATAGAATACTAAAACTATTCCGGGTCAGAATCTGCGAACATGTCCTCTGCCTTGGGTCGTGGCTTTCGTGCAGGACGCTGAGGCTCCGGCGCTGGCTCTTGTTGCTGCTGCTGCTCAGATGGCTTGTCCTCAGACCCCTCTGCCTTCTGATCCGGCGGCTCATCCTCCATAGGTTCGCCATCTGGTGCTTCTTCCTCCAGATCACTGTCTTCCATGGGAACACCGTCAAGGTCACTCAGCGACTCCCCATCAAAGTCCGCTTGGTTGATAGAAGAAGTAACCCGTTCCTGGTCGATATCCATCCGGTTCGGATCCATGATGGGAGGTCGACTGGGATCAAATTTCCCTGGTGCTGCTGCCGCCTCCTCATCAAGAGTCTTCCACCTACTCTTTCCCTTAGCAAATGCGTTGGAAGCCCGTTCAGCTTCAGCTTTCTCTCTTTCTTCGCGTTGCTCTTCTTCGGTAAGCGGCGGTTTATCGAATACATGTGCAAAGTGTTCTTGGCTTCCCTGCGGGAAAACACACCATCCTTCCCACAGGTGTAAGAGGTTTTCAATGCTTCGTTTCCACTTCTCTGCTTTGAGTCGACCCCATTTTAGATCTTTCTCCAGTTGGCCAAGATGCTCAAAAACTTGATTTGACTTAAGTGCCGATTCGAAGAGTTGCCTGTATCTCCATGCGTGCCGGACGCCGCTAGTAGCTGAAGACGAGAGGATGTCAGAAATAAGGTACAAGCCAACAAGCTTAGCAGCCGACGTATCCACTTTGGAGGATAATGGTCGAGTTTGAGTCGGTTTCTCACTCGATCCGTTGTCATCGTTAAGGTCCTCCCCTCTTGCGATGTCCTTTTCGATTTCACGATCCGGGTTCGCTCCTGTGTAAGCAAGAGGACTGAGGATGTTGGAAACAATCATTTGGACGACTTCATCAGCACCCGCTCCCGCGTGTTCGATCGCAAACGCTGTGATACGTGCAACATCGCCTTTCCGTAACTTTGCATGGGTTGTAGGTAGTCGAGCAAGAAGATATGTTAACTTGGCCTTTTGAAGAGGATTCATGTAACTCAATCCTTCGTTGGCGCCGCTTAATCCATCAGCTGATGGCGCGCCACCAGCGTTCCGCCTGTCTTCTTCTGTATCAGAGTGTTCCTCATCAGAAGAATTGTAGTCCTCATCCGAGACAAACTCGTCCATGCGGGTTGTATATTCGAATTTAGTATCTGTCTCCGGAAAGAGCCAACTCGGCCCATCTTCGAAGATCATTGAGGCTTTCTCGGAAGTCCTTCGTCTAGCCTCTCTAGATTGGGTGTTGGTTAGGATCTCCCATAGCTTCCATCGATAGTAAACACCACCAGGACTTCTGGGATCCCAGAGCCAGGCCCATTTCTCGTCTCTTTGTACTTCTGGTCTGCTCATGAGTAATGCTTCGAATTCCGGGCCAAAGTCCAGCAAATTTTCCAAAGTCTTGTGAATCAATTTGAGTTGTTTCAGGTCTGATGGTGTTTTCACTTCAACTCGCGTTGACGGCCCGCCTCTACCGTATGCTGGCCCATATGAAGACGGAGGAGCGAATCCACGAGATCCAGGTGGTGGGGCACGACTCAAACTTCTTCCAGGGTTTTGTGGGATGTTTTTGGCGCCGAATGGAAGAGATGTTGTCGACGACAGACCGATAGTCACAGGCATAGAGGAGCTGATTGCGGCTGAAGAGAGATGGCGAGTGATAGAAAGATTGTACCCCCAACCTAGATATTTATTTTGAAGTGCGCTAACAGCACTGTCTATATCAGACGCTGCAGACTCATTCACCAGAGTCACAATGGCGGACACCGATTTCCGATCCGTCGATGATTGACTGGGCGGCCGTAAAATCTTGACACCATCAACAACCAAAGTCGACGGAACCAACGACTTAATCACCGATGGAGACGTCCCCGGAGGTAAAGATGCCAGATATAACGTAGGTTTAGCAGCCGCCCTCTCGGCCTCCTTCGTATCTGTAGTCCTTTCCTCCTCCTCGTCCGAAGCACCAAATGCTGCAGCCGTTCCGGTGCCCGTATTACCAAATCCCGACACCCCAGACCCTGAGTCCCGATTCAGCTGAGAGGAAGGAAATCCATCGTGTGTACGTTTTCGAGAAAGTGACGGCGGAGGTGGTCCCAGAGTTCCGGGACCGCTACTGCGCGGACCGGAGCTGGTGAAATGTCGTTTTGCAGGACCTCCAAACCCCGAATTCCTATTATTATTGAAATTCCCCGGCGCGTTCACCCTTCCCTCTGTCGGGAATCGACCTGGTTCCTGGTTGTCATCCTCGAATGACTTGACAAAGTCCTCGTAAACGGCGGCGGTCTCGGCTTGTTCGCGGGCGCGCTTTGCCTCTGCTTCGGCTTTTTGGCGTTCGAAGACGGATTTCTTAGGGAGCGCAGAAAGTTTGGCGGATATATCGGGGAAGTCTTTTGGTTTTGAATCGTCGGGCATTCTGGTGGAAGTTGCGATGCGCAGCGATAAGTGTTGTGCGGGCGCGCTTGCGATTGAGTGTTGGTGGATGGGCAGCGGTCTCAATTAGGTCGGGCGGGAACGGAAAATCATCCGCTGTCTTCCTTGCACCTGAATGGCCGACACATAAGAAAGCCACAGGTTTGCTATTAATATTCTTCGATGTTTTTAGAGAGCTTAATCCGTACTTGTTATTGCTTTGATACCGCATAGACAACACTGGCTACTGCGGAGAGACTTAGCTGGCTCATAGAGACAACTCGTTATATGAACCGTTATTCGAAGAACGATATTCTGTAATTCTCTAAGAATTCTCGGTTTAAAGCTCATGGCTGATATCTCCAATAAGAAGTGACCACAGAATAACAGACAACTGCTGGGATGCCTCATTTAGACCCTACAGTTGGCTTGGCGAGTCTAGTATTTGTGTATGATAGCCATTCAGAACAGACTGGGAGAATGTATGGACAGAGATGTAAGGAAGGGCATTCGGCATTCTGTGCTAACCCAGTAGTACCTTACCCTCTTTGGCAAGGTATCTAGCCAATGCAGAGCAGTATGAATCCCGACGGGAACAGCGCCAGTCAGTCCTTAAGATATTACAGACATCTCCATGTTTTTTTGCTCATCACTAAAATTCAAGCCGTTTCAATCTCTAGAAAAGACCTGCGGCTATTATCGGACAGTTGTTTTACATTATGGCATGCTTCGCTTCCGAATTGGCAGGCTTGTGAGACCTGGCCCAGCGTCCAGAGCAGAGAGTCGTCGTGTTTCGTGCCAGGCCCACGAGGAGGATTCAATACCTTGTTTCCAAATGGATCATGGCCTCTCGCACAACCAAGGATACCAGGTAAAGCATTCTCGATTTGTATTCCAATTGGAGCATTAAAGGAACAAAACACGGCCTTATGGTATGGCATGGAATTTTCTGTCCCACAGTTTCTTTCTAGTGGGTGGGTTCAAAAACGGTACTGGTATGACCTTGCACGATTATTTGTTGTTCTATCTGACTTTGGGTCGCAATAGATCCAACCCATGAAACCGTCTTGTGGTTCTATTGCTCAGAAATAAGATTTACAGACTTTGCATGGAGACTTGTTCCTTGCAGAACCGGTGATGCACCGTTGTCGCAAACTCTGGGATACAATACTCCATACGGGAGGGCTCCGAGGACCCAATTCGGCGGTTTGTCGGCATTGTATGGAGCATGGAGTACGGAGTACCATAGGCTTTTTTGGTCAAGAGCCGGTGGTAACATGTTGCGACTAGTACCAGTGAGACAGGAGTTGCAAGGAAGTGAGAGAATAAAGAAAAATACAACAATAAAGTAGGAGAGGGGACAGGGAAGGCAAAATAGGGTTGACTTTGACCTTGTTTATCGCAATACAGTCAGTCTTATGGACGCGATGAAGTGATGAACCGCTGATTGCCGATCTCTTCAAACTTCAACGATCCGGACGTGCACTCTGATACGCGAATTCTATGTTCTCAGGAGAGGCAGCAACCATAAAACTACTAAAGACTATTGTTCTCGACCTCCGGTACCAGGTCGAGCCTTTCTGAATCAGTACATAGCATCCCACGTACCATGGTCAGTACAACGATGCGAGCAGGATATGGAGACCGAACACATTTTGTGGCTTCTTCCATGTGGTCATCGAAGCGACCAGTGGGCCATTCAGCCTGCGCTATTCGTCCATCGGCCGTCCCTGACCAAGTCTGCAGGGTCCCGACATATGATTTTTCCGGCCATTTTTCACTTGCACAGAGCCTATGTTTGCCGAATCCGGTGGAGGGTTGGATTGCGAACAGGAATGAAATACCAACCAGTAGTATACACGCAATTCACATTGCAGAGACTCGTTATTTGGCTGAGATGTATGACATCGATTAGAAAGAAAAAGAATGATTGGCAGCGATGCGAAACAACAGTTCTGCGATACATGCCTGTACCGTGCAGAGCAGGATCAATTATTGGTTTAGAGAAACTCAGGAGCATTCATGATTCGCTCGCCCTGCACCGTCATGTATTTATAGAAGCACTGAATCGCCTTCACAAGAATAGCTGATACATATAAATTGGAGTATACTCTACATACATAATAATATACGGAATAAAATCAATGTAGCATCTTGAAGTACTCTATATTTTGCGTACTTGTATGAATGCAGTGAAAGTGGCGAAATACACTTGTAGGAATTAGTGGTGGTACTGGTATGGTACCCTGTATTTTTTTTTTTTTTGTAATACCCGCCTGTATGTAATCTATCATGACAATACACCACAGTAGATCAGGCACAGTTAATCCAATCGAAGAAGAATAGGACTACATAGTAATGATCGTGGTAATAACAACAATGTGAATATTCTCTTGATTTTATCCCGATTTTTCTGACTGCTCTACATGCATTTCTCTTACTCTAACCCAAGTGAAAGCCCATAATCTGTGCACCAAAAGACCGAGTCGCTAGTTTCGTCGCCGCCCAGTTGGGTTTAGCCTGTCTTTCTCTCCACCCATCCTTTCTCTCTCTCCCTCTTTCAACTCTCTCAACTCCCTCCGTCTCTCTACAGCCTCTTGAACGCCCTCAATTCACCAACCAGATATTATATCGTTATCGTCAGTTGTCTTCTGGCTTTCTTCTTAACGAAATTCACGGCTCTCATTTTCGATCGTACGGTCGATTACACAACCGCCTTTCCACTACAGTATTGAATCGCCCCATCTTCGCTCCCGTCGCCTCCCGACCGACCGACCGACCGACCGACCGTCTAAACCTCCAACCTCCAGTCTTTTGCCTACGCCTAGGTGACTGACTGTTTTTATCTCCTTCTGAAGGACTGACCGGACCAAATACCCAGGAAGCCCGACAGGGCTGTGCGTAAACGCCATGTCTGGGCGACCACCTTCCGACCATTCTCGTTCGCTCTCGCGATCTTCTCAATCCCAGCGCGAGTCTTTCCAAGGCCAGGATACCGATTCAATGCATCACCATACTCCTTCCGGTCAATCTGCAAACCCCAATGTCTTCTCGGATGAATACTCGCTGGAACCGGTCGATTCTGAGCAGACCACCCTTACTCCTCGAAGTCCTTCCGTTTCCTCGATCGCCTCCTCTCATACTCTCCGTACAAACCAGCCACCTCCTGGGAAATCATACGACGACCCATCAAATGAATTGCAACCAACAGAAAATCCTTTTGGCGATGAGGCCCGTGTGTCCTTCGACGATCCCAACCGCTCGAGTTTGCCCCAGAAAGGGGTGCTGGACGCCTCCCACAACAACCGCGATTCAATAGCCTCCATTAATACCAACACCCCTTCCATTACACAGCGCAGTCAGAGCACCTCTTCCCGTTTCTCGATGCCCCCAAGAGCCCTAAGTCCTTATACCGGGGCCACCGGTCCTAGTCATCCCTACGCCATGTATCCTCAAGTTGGTGTTAGTCGTTCTCCGAGTGTGACGACGACTTCAACAGTTCGCCCCATGGACCGTCCCCTAGGAGATACGACCGCGCCACAACATCCATATGCCATGTATTCGCAGAATGTTGTGCTGGAAGAAGGCCTTGATACTCCCATAGACTCTCCCTTGGCAGGTACTATCGCAACCCCCCTAACTAATCCAACTGTGATACCCCTCGGCTTTCCCGGACATAATCAAGCCTACCAAAGGCCACCAGGTCGTGCAGACGATGATGTGGGGGATCTTATTGGTCCCGATGGACACACAGAGCAACTTCCTCCTTACTCCCGTTATCCCGAGAATGCGGCTCCAAAGATTGAAGATGGATTTGTTGAGCCCATTGGCGAGACTGAAGTCCCGCGTGATGGAATTCCCAATGCTACTGGTGGTCTCGAGCAAGGGCTAGGGGTCCAGCAAATGTCGGATGTGTCATCAAGGACGATGCTGCCGGAACAACAAGCAGCAAATGATAACAACAACATCATCAACAACAACAACAACAACAACAACAACAACAACAACAACAACAACAACAATGACAACAATAACGGCGATCAAGGGAACAATATCGGTGCCGAAACAGCTCCTGTTTCAGGCGTGATGGCGTTTGAGGAGAAGTTGAAAAGCAAGGGTAAAAAGAGGGCATGTTGCGGGCTGCCTGTATGGACGATCGTTTTGGTCGTAACCGTCATGGTGGTGGCAGCCAGTATCGGTGGTGCCATTGGCGGGGTGCTAGGGGCACGGAAGGCGGCAGACGAGGAGAAATCAAAGCCAAAGGGGCCCAATATTGTCACCGTAACTGCGACGCCCAAATCGGATGCGACCCCGATATCGACTATCCCAGCTAAACTCAAGTCTGTCCCCACTGGCTCATACATAATTCCGACCGATCTCAGAAACCAGTCCAAGTTCTGCATCTCCGATCCAGATTACAGAATGGCGTGGAGTTGCCAGTCGCAAGGCGGAATCCCTATTGAGGTTGATGGAAATAGTAGTAGACACACCGTCACCTTTCCTTCTCAGCCTTTTGATCCGTCGTCCATGGCATACGGTGCTCAGGCACCCCTCTTGAACGATCAAACCCAATCGTTGAGTTACGTGATGGACACTAGCGATTACAGCATGGGCCCAGCTCTGTTTTTCTACGCCTTGTTTGATAAGTTGGTTGTTCTTCCTCAGGACACATTTTCGTCAAGCTCAGTGTCATCATCATCATCGTCGTCGTCGAAACGATCAATCTCTGAATCGGACATTTTGGCTAGTTCGCTCAGTCGGAAGCAGGCGACACAGACTGGCGAGAAGCCTTGGTTTTGTTGGTGGAATGCCACGGTCTTGGAGTTCTTCCTCTACGTCAATGAGACGAGTCGGGAGTCTCACTATAGTTCCACCGCCACATTGACGTACGACACGGCCACCGAGACCCCCAGCCACGGCGCTACAACACAGAGCAGCGATCTTCCCAGTTATCCTCGCAGAATCAAGATGGGGGAGAAGCGTGACTACCCAGAGGCTAAGGCACCATACTGCCAACAAATGGAAGTGCTGGGCAGTGGAGATGTTCGTACATATTCTCCAGCCACGATCCAAGTCCACGAGGTCGAGCCAACTCCGACAACAACACTCAAGGGCGATGGCAGTGCTACCCAAACATATACCGCAAAAGCGGAATATGAAAGCGCGTGTTATTGTGCCTCTTTGACAGATTAATTCACCAAGCTCTGACGATAGTTTCTCATACTTCTGGCCTTTTTTTCCCTTCAAAAAAAGTATCAGCAAGGATAGAGAGCATGCATCATCGTACCAAAAAAGGGTTGCCTCTGGGGGATCATGGCGTCGGCGTTATCAAAGGGCGGTTTCGGAAACAGCTGCAATCTTTCTTTTAATGTGCATACGAACGATTGACATAGTGTTCTGTTGCGTGTCTTGGTCTGATTATTCCTTCTTCTCATTTTGACTATGGCGTCTCTTGTTGGCTTTTAACATCTATCTGTTCCTTTCTATGGCTTCGCATCATTCTGTTGCTTGACAACGCGGCTAGGTTTAAGCTTCTCTTCTTTTTCTTTTCTTTTTTCTTTTTCTCTTTTTTTTTTTTTTTTTTTTTTTTTTTTTTTTTTTTTCACGTTTCTCTTCCCAGGGACTTGAGCTTCTGTTCCTTATTATTATCTGCGAGACAGATTCTGACGGCGTTTATCGGGGAAAGGCGTGGTGCGGCCCAGGCACTTTCGGAATTGGCCAAGCACTGTCTATCTTTTATGTTGTTACTCTTTTAGTCTCTTCATCGGAGATATTGATCGATTTCAATCCAATGAATGGGTTTACATGCACTCGTCATTTTCAGTAAACCTATGCACAGTCCTGGTATAGCGTACTCGTACGCCAGCTTAGCCCGAAAGGGCAACCATCGTCTACTCTATTTGGGATATATTCTAATGAACGCTTATTAATTTCCTTTAATTAATAGCACCTTTCTCTTCCATTGCTCCGGGTTCCTGTTCTGGTTTGGTTGATGAAATGAAGGGTTGACGAGTATGACACGGTTGAAACGTCATCGCCGTTGGCGTCAATTACGCCACCAGAAGGCCTACCCGTTATAGTATAATAAGAATAATCACTTCTCTCTTTCAGCATTCATGAAAAAGTAGTTGCTCCGTTTTACAATTGAGCACAACAGACCTACAACCGTCTACAACCATCTAAAACAGAACAACGACGGGTAACCACCACATCAACCGTCGACGATGAACCCAATTCCGAGAGCATACTCTCTTTTGAGGACAACTAACGTCCCAATGCTTCGTGCTGTTTTCCGAACAACCATCCAGTCTCCCTCGTTGCGATTCTACGGCCAAAGCGCCTACGGAGGATACGAGAAAAGCCCTGCGAAGTCCGACATTTCACGTGCAAAGGAACATCCAGGTAAGTCCACACCACCCATCCATCCATCTACGAATAACTCTTTGACACCAGTAACAGGCCCTCCACCCCCAGACACCAAATCCTCCTCAACTTCCTCTCAAGAATCTACCGGTGGCTCCAGTCCAACATCCCCTTCCTCCCCCTCCCGCTCCGACCCCCAAGCCGAAGCCGAATCCCAGCAACCTTACTCTTCAACTGCGCCCGGCGCACCGAAGGACCCCGAGAAGTCTGAAGCACACCAGATCCAGCGCGAGCCGTCGAATAAAGCACATCCGACTATTACTACTGGGAAGCAGTCGCCAAATGTGGATGATGAGGGACATCGTCGGAAGGATATCCCGGAGGATGTGAAGGAGCATAACAGGGGAGTTGAGCAGAGGCATGACCGATCGTATAATCAGATTACGGATGAGGGGAAGGTGCAGAAGGGGTTCTAATCAGGAGATATATAGATGAGGATGTGGTATGTGAGAAATTTTGTTGTTATACCCTGGTGAGGGTTTGTTTTACATAGGGATATGTCTAATTACTACTGGTTGTAATGTTAAATGATAGTCCAATTTGCGTCATTGTCGGTCACCAATAGTTAGAGCAAATCGTTGCCTTAATGTCATGCCAACCAGGCAGAATATCTGTTCGGTACTTTGTAATCCAGGCGCAGCAGGGGACGGTCGCATAGATTCAATGCTTCAATGATTCAAATAGGAGCGTCTTCATATTTGGTTTAGGTACATAGAAGTAAAAACCTCATTGGTCCACCCAGAAACAAGTCACGTTGTCTGGTACCTTAATGGCCGAACGCGGATCCTCCGTTCTCCGCTCAAACAAGTTGTCTCGATCTCGCTCAGGAGTCCGTTCTTCGATTACCGCAACCCCCCGTTCCATTGTTGCACGCGCTTGTCTTTGCTATACCTAATTTGTTCGGCTTGATTGAACAACCTGTTAATTACCGGTCAAAATGGGCGCCATGAAGAACAAGTACTCCGTCATTCTCCCGACCTACAATGAGCGGCGCAATCTCCCTATTATGTGCTGGCTTCTGGAGAGGACGTTCCGGGAGAAGTATGCTCTTCCCTTTCTTTTTTTGTGCTTATCATCATACCCAATTGAGCTCCTGCTAACGCGATTGTTTCCAGCAACCTCGACTGGGAAGTAATCATCGTCGACGACGGTTCCCCTGACGGCACCCTCGAAGTCGCCAAACAACTGCAAACCCTTTTTGGCCCCGAACACATCGTCCTCAAGCCACGCGCCGGCAAACTCGGTCTTGGAACCGCCTACGTGCACGGCCTGCAATTCGCCACGGGCAACTTTGTTATCATCATGGACGCCGACTTCAGCCACCACCCCAAGTTCATTCCCGCCATGGTGGGCATTCAGAAGGAGACGGACGCGGATATTGTCACTGGGACTCGGTACGCGAGCCGCAACGAAATCAAGGGCGGTGTCTACGGATGGGATTTGTTCCGGAAGTTCACTTCGAGGACGGCCAATTTGATCGCGGATGTGATGCTCATGCCTGGTGTGAGTGATTTGACGGGGAGCTTCCGGTTGTATAAGAAGAGTGTGTTGGAGAAGGTTATTCATAGTACTCAGAGTAAGGGATACAGTTTTCAGATGGAGATGATGGTGCGGGCCAAGGCGATGGGGTACAAGGTTGCTGAGTGTCCGATCACTTTTGTGGATCGGTTGTACGGTGAGAGTAAGCTGGGTGGTTCGGAAATTGTGGAGTACCTGAAGGGTGTGTTTTCGTTGTGGTTGAAGGTTTAACTTGTCTCCCCTGGTATATCTATTGCCATGGAGGTTGATTTATATACCCGTTTGGTCCGGTGTTTCTGTTCATGGTTTATTGGCTCAGGGTTTCACGTTCCGTTTCTTAGTATGTACACTAGAGTAAAAAAAAAATAAAAATAAAAAATAATCTGCATCTGGACTTCTTTAAAGACTGGTCAAGTAACGAGTCACCCGAGCAATCAGTTCATCCTGTCCTTCAGCCTTGACATTGTGGCTGGCACCGGGAATCACCGCACTGCCCTCAGAATCATACTTCTCAACACCTCCAGCATTCGCAGCCTCCTTCCACCTCTGCATCAGCTTCGCCTTATCAACCCACGGCGCCCCATATTCATCATTGCCCGAGTACAGGAACATCATCTTCGTCTTCAGCAGCCCCCGCTCCGCAACAACCCCAAACGTCTCCTTTAACCGCTGATCCGTCAAATCAGAACTAAACAAGTCATCCTCCGCAGGATTCTCAGGACTATCCGGACTCGCCAGACTCATAAAACGCCGCGCGCTAAGAGGTGTGTCAGCAGGGAACCCGGCCTTCGCTGTGAGATTCATCGGCAAAAGAGCGTCTAGTTTCTGCTGGTAGTCACCAATAGTGTATGGCTGCTGTCTTGCAAACGCAACGAGCTGGTCAAATGCAGCCCGTGCCTCGTTCCCCATCGCCGTTCCCTCGTCAGCCTTGAGCTGAGCCTCCAATCCCTCACGATCTGACATGGGAGCTTGGAGAATAGCACCATCGAGTTCCGGGCGGGTAAGATGTTTCAATCTTCCCTGGAACTCGTCAGGGCGTTGCGGAACGGGGTTGGGCGTGTGCAGGTAGTGCAGCACATCCTGGCTTCCGGTGGAGTGGCCCATGATCACGACTTTTCCGGAGGGCTTGCGCTCCTGGACATATTTCACACATTGCGCAATCTCTTCAACGTCCTGGTCGAGACTGCCGACGCCCCAGCCGCCGTAGGAGGAGGAGAGTAGGAGGTGGAAGAGGGACCAGTCGGTTGGCTCGAGGGCCTTTGCCAGTGGGGCCACATAGGGGACCGTGCCGAGGCCGTCTGTGAGGCCTCCGATGAAGAGGATTGCGTTCGGTTTGGGGGTGTTGGAGGTGAATTCGAATGCGGTTAGTCTGGGAGCCTGCCATGCTGTTAGTTGGAGATGTTTCCGGGATACAAAAATCAATCGTACATATTGGTGGAGGATTCCCTGGTGCGAAGGGCTCGACATGGCTGCAATCAGAACGTCTCTATATCTATCAGGTTCAAGTTAGGTCTATGGATGATGTTGTTTGTTTGATGACGTTCAGTTGTAGCCGACGTGGGGTTTTGTATGGCGGGGTGGCCCCATGTTCCGTATCCATTCCCTCACTCTGCATGTCCTACCAGGCCTATTACTAATATGTTCAGAGTGCAGGCTTCCTAAGGTCTCTCTTAGTCAAGATTATTCTGTTTTAAATCTCTTTTTATTTTGCCATGTTGAGATGAGAGTAGAGCGCCATCGGAGCTAAATTGATGCGCATCTCCGCCAAGATCTGAAAAGATAAGAGAGCTTTTATCTTGGCATCTACAACCATCCATCTCTATTGCTACGGACAATGTAGCTTTTCTGCAATCGAATCGGATATGCTTACATGCCACAAAGATGTGATAGCTCTGGTTATTATTCATATAAGGGCCAACATTAGTCTCTAGCACAAGGGGTGAAGAGTCAAAACACCCTGTTCCATACCTTGATTTCTGCCAAACGAACCCCAGTTGAGAGTCGTGAAGGCATCTATCAGCTGGACCACTCTAACCATGCCTCGTGCGCACAGGTCAACTCGCTATTCAGGGGGCAAAACTAAATATACCATCGATCCATTTGAAATCGCCGGTCTCAGCGGGGACTCTGATATCGGAGAGGCAGGTGGGTCGTCAGCAGTCAAAGTGCTAGACGAGGATTCAGAAGAAGACTTTCAACATGCATCAAATGATGAAGATGCGGAAGAAGAGGAGGACGAGGAGGTGGAGCCGGAAGACGATGATGGGCCCGAGTTTGCTGAAGGAGAAGCTATGGACATCGATGGACCGGCATTTACTCTAACAGGTCGAGGGGAAAAGAACCCAAATGCAAAGAAAGAGAAAGCTGTGTCTCAACCAGACACCAAGAAAAAACAACTAAGTGGGCCTAAACCGGACGAGACGCGTTCCCGAGGCATTTTAAACACATCCGATCATGTCGGGAAGTCAGTTCACCTCCAGTTTACCTTTGGAACAGACGAGCGCGACTTGTTAGCTATATTGCATGCGAGGGAGCGGTGGGCGAAAGGAATCGACTCGGGGTTCCCCAGCCGTGCATCATTGAACACAGTCCAAACAGCACCTGATTACGCTTACGGACCGACATATGGGGCCGATCCTCAAGATGTACAGAATGAGAGCACCCGTGGTTGGGACTGGTACTATGACAGGGATGTTGGGGAGAAGTTCAGGAAACGGCAATGGCTAGCCAAAATCAAAGAAGATGAAGGCCGTCGCTATATACCTCAATCAAAACCAGGGAAGCATACTGTGCTCATGGGGCTGGCTGATAATCAGAAGAAGTTTTCATTGGGACAGTTTGAATCGATTAATTTCGGAGACGCATGGGGGCCTGCAGAAGCGAAAAGGAAGCGAGAAGGATGGGTGTTGAACATGGGCCAAAAGATTCAGTCCATGGCTTGGGCACCGAATCAAAATGGACTCGTCCAGTATTTGGCTATCGCTTCTCACATCACTGAAGAACAAAAGAGCCAATACCCTGATCCTCTAGCAGATAAAGTGTCACCGGCATTTCGGCCTTCACCACCATATCCGAGCGCATTGCAGATCTGGGCTTTCAAAGCCAAGAGAGACGAGTCACTGACAAAAACGCTTGATATGGAATTCAAGCCACGGCTACGACTGGCCTTATGCACCGACTGGGGAGACCTGCGGCGTATAGCCTGGTGTCCGTTCCCTCGCGCCAAGCGAGATGAGGACGATGAAGATTTTTTGAAGAACGTTGGGCTTCTGGCAGGCATATGGGGAGATGGATATGTAAGGGTCATTGATATCAAAACTAACAGAGATCCTAACGTTACTGAATTTCGTAAGTCACCAAAAAAAAAAAAAAAACGAATAGTGAGTGGATCTGACCACAGCACGAAACAGACAAAGTCCTTTCTCCTGCCTTTACAGCCAAACCACCTTCGACATTGTGTACATGTGTGGCCTGGCTCTCTCCAACTGACATCGCTGTTGGTTGTGCGAACGGATTCGTCGCAATCTGGAGCATCCTGTATTTGCAAGACTCATCATCAAACCACCCTCTTCCGTATTTCTACCAGCAAATTCACTCGACATATATCCTCAATATCACCCCCGCCTATCCCGCACACCCACATATCTTCGGTACCACTTCAATGGACGGCGAGACTCGCCTAACATCATTCCTCGACTCGCAGAAGGACATGACTGAAACAAACCGCATGCGAATGGGTTCACCTCATATCTCCTTCTCTCCTTTTCTTCAATCATTTGTCTCCAGCGACGAGAATGACTTTGCTCGACTCATTACCCTCCGACGATTTTTCGCGATTACCTCCATTGCAAGACTCCCCAGTTCTGTATCTGCTCTGGCGCCATGCAGCCCCTGCCATCCGAGTCTACTATTTGGATGCTCAGGAGGAGCAGTGGTCGTGACAAATCCACTCAGGAGACTCATGCACTCAAAACAGAAGCAGTGGCAGCAAACATGGTTCGTGCATGATTGGGTTCAAGGCCCGGAGAAGGAGGGTTCTGGTATTAGTCGGTTCCAGGATGGGTTCCGCGCGGAGAGCGTGAGTCTTTTACGGAGTATGGCAGGGGATTGGAAGATGGTTAATGGAACTATGGTTATTACTATACATGAGGAGGAGACTAATGTCACATCTGTAGCGTGGAATCCTAACCAGGTTTGTGCGGGATGGGCGAGTGCTGGGATGGGATGTGGGTTGATTCGGGTTGAGGATGTTGCTTTGTCGTGAGGCTGTACATACTCTTGAATACATATTCAATGAGTGATCTACTAGAGAGCGAGGCTAGTCTATTTTGGAAGAGTCTCCACACGTGATGTCACTTGGAATTTCACTTGGATTCGAGTTCTAGCCTATTCTATTATAAAATCAGGATATTACCATGGTAACATCCCACGAAAATAGCGAGTCAAAGCGAAAAGCGACAAAGAAAAATAATGGCAGTGGCTGGCTGTTTTCCCAGCCTCTCAGTTTTTTGCTAATCAACCATGAGTGGTTGACTTGATAGTCACTTGTTCTACAAAAGTACCTTCTAATTCAGAGAATTTATATGTAGGCTTGCTTTCTCTCAACATCCCATTTTAGCCATTCTCCAAAGATCCATCGCATACTAGCTACCTTGATACTGCCATAGCGCATTCAAAATTTTGCACGGAACCAACTACATCAGATATAAGAATATTCCAGCTGACCTGAAACGTCTTCGATTCCAGAAAATACAATGCGTTTCTCTTCAACAGCTGCTTTATTTGCACTCTCTTCTTTGTGTGCTTCCTATGTTCTGCCTTTCGTCCATCCACAGCAGGCCAGTGACAATCTAATGCGACGAGAGCTACCATATGCCGTGGTCAACGTTGACGGTGATGATCAGACAACTAGCAACTCCCACTCGAGCAGCAGCAGCAAAACATCTCCAGTCATTCAGACAGCTGTTCAAACCATGACTGCGTCGAGTCCTCCATCCCCACCGGTGACTGTCACGGTGACTACGACTGCCTCCTCAACTCCTATCATTTCGTCATTTCCGTGCAGCAGCAACAGCAGGCCCGTGTCCGGTTTGAGTTTGCCTCCATTGAGTAGAGCTGGGACTTTGATCACTGCGCCTAGCCCTAGGCCTAGCAGCACGGCCTCTTTGGTATCGGGCCAGACGAGCAGTGGCAGTCTGACTAGAACTGCTCGTGTATCATCAACCACGGATCACAATTGATTTATATCTCCTTAGATTGCATGGAAATTCGTGGCGAGGACCGGCCTCGAGGAATTTTATGCTTGACGAATATTCTATAGGTACTACGGAGCCTCTATAAACGGGTCTGGGGCCTATGAGCCGTGCAAACCATTCGATTCTCTTCATGATTAATTATGCTTTGGCACGGTCTAAACAAAATAATGAGAAACATGTGCAACGGGCGTTCTCAATGGGTAGTTAATGTTGATTCCTGTTGATATTGTATCCTCTCGGCACCAATGTCTGTCCAGCTGGATTGATCTATGATAGAGACATGATAAATAGACTCATTAACTAAATTTAAATTGTCAAGTGCAATAAATATCTATTTCCTATGGACAACGACTGGTAGTAATATGTATACAGAGCGCGGCATCATCTCTTGGCATTTGCCCGCTTTAGCGTGACGGAACTCGTTGCGTCGCCGTCCGATCCCCAGACGACAAGTCGACCAACTATTCACGATACCTTCTCTTCTTCCCTGCTTTTTGCTTTTCTTTCCCCGATTAATACATGGGAGGATAGCTTGCTAAATTCCCTGCTGTTAGAGTGCTTCTCTAACTCCATTCTGCCCTCCTCGACGTCACTTGCAGCATACCTCAGTCGCCGTCGTCCCTCGTCCCTCGTCCGTCGTGTGTCCTCTCTAGTATCCCACCTGCAAACGCAACTTCCTCCCTCGACCTTCATCCATTATGTCCAGCCCGATATCTCCTCCCGAAGATCAGACTCGTCTCCTCGAGGAGGCATTGGGGGTGGTTCGCCAGCAGTCGCAAATGATGCGAAAGTGCCTCGAAACCCCCGGGAAGCTCATGGATGCGCTCAAATGCGGGTGAGCTACATATGCATCCCCTCCTTCCTGTCTACCATTATTTATTTTTCTACGGGAGACAGCGAAAGCGACATCTGAATAAATGACTAACGCGATACCGATGCCACGTCAATTGGTTTATTCAGGTCTACCTTAGTTTCTGAATTGCGGACTCCCAGCCTAGGCCCCAAGCAATACTACGAATTGTACATGGCGGTTTTCGACGCATTGCGACACCTTTCCGTTTACCTGAAAGAGAACCACCCTGTTAACCACTTGGCCGATCTGTACGAGCTTGTTCAGTATGCAGGCAACATCATTCCACGGCTTTATCTCATGATAACGGTGGGCACGGTTTACATGTCCGTGGAGGATGCCCCGGTTAAGGAGATCATGAAGGATATGATGGAAATGAGCAGGGGTGTGCAGCATCCAATTCGCGGTCTTTTCTTGAGATATTACCTGTCTGGTCAGGCTAGAGATCACTTGCCCACAGGAACTGGTGCCGGGCCAGAGGGCAATATTCAGGATTCGATCAACTTCGTCCTGACCAACTTCGTCGAAATGAACAAATTGTGGGTTAGATTGCAGCACCAGGGCCCTTCGCGAGAAAGAGAAAAGCGGATGCAAGAGAGACGGGAGCTGGAGTTACTGGTGGGCAGCAATATCGTTAGGCTCAGCCAGTTGGTAGATCTGGAAGGTTATAAGTCGGGTATCTTGCAGGCATTGCTAGAACAGGTCGTCCAGTGTCGGGATGTTCTTGCGCAGGAGTATCTGCTTGAAGGTGAGAAGACACCTCTGTTGACGCACATCCTAGGATTGAATGCTAAATGTTGACACTCTACTTCGCAACCTAGTGGTCACGAAGGTGTTCCCCGATGAATTCCACCTGCATACTCTCGACCTCCTTCTCTCCTCGATTGCTAGACTCAATCCGTACGTGGACTTGAAGAAGATTGTCATTGGACTCATGGATAGATTGTCGGCATTTGCGGCTCGAGAAACAGAGTCGGCCGCGGACCCGAATGCAAGGAAACAGAGAGAAGAAGAAGCTGTCGAGAAGCTGCTCGAGAAACTCAAAATTTTCGAAGCTTCTAAGGATGAAGCGGCCGAGAGCGCAGAAGCTGGCGCAGCCCAGGAGAACGGAGTTGAGCAGCCCTCAACTGGAACACCCGAAGATGCTGAGAAGAAGCCTGGAAGAGAAGAGAACGCAGCTAGCACTGACGGCGCAAACCCGAACATTCCTTCCGATGTCGCATTATACTCCATATTCTACGATCAGGTGGTCAATCTTATCCAGACTCGCGGCCTGCCTATTCAGGATACTATGGCATTATTGGTGTCTTTGGTTAACCTGGCCCTGAACACCTACCCAGACCAATTAGAATATGTCGATAAGATCCTGGATTTCGCGACTAAAAAGACCTCTGAGTACACTGATCACGCTGACCTGCATTCTCCTCCGGCACAACAAAACCTCTTGCACCTTCTTCTTGCACCCCTTCGCTCCTATACCTCTATCTTCACAGCTTTGGCCCTGCCGCACTACCTTCCACTCCTCACTGCTCAATCTTATCCCACCCGACGATCGGTTGCTGGTGAAATTGCTCGCAGCCTTCTCAAGAACCGAACTCTGATTACGACGACAGAGAACTTGGACCGCATCCTGCAAGCCCTTAGAGTTGTGATCAAGGAGGGCACACAGCAAGCCATGGGGTATCCTGGATCCCAGCGGCGAGGAGGAGAAACTGATGAGACCATTGAGGAGCAAGGGTGGCTTGCGAGATTGGTGCACCTGGTCCAGTCTCCTGAGAATGATACTCAACTTAAAGTATGAACCCACTTAAAATAAGCTTTACGAGTCTTCAACGTGACTAACGTCTATTCTAGCTCCTCCAAGCAACCCGCAAGGCCTATGCGGATGGCAACGAACGAATCCGATACACAACCCCAGCAATCATCACATCGTCGATACGGTTAGCCCGCAGACTGAAGTTCCGCGAACACTATGACGACAACTGGCAATCGCAATCCTCAGCACTCTACCGGTTCATGCATCAGTGTGTCAACAACCTCTACCAGCGTGTAAATCCCGGCTCCGCCGACCTGTCGTTGCGCTTGTTCGTTATGTGCGGTGAAGTGGCCGATCAGACTGGTTTTGAAGAGTTCAGCTATGAGTTCTTTGCTCAGGCATTTACGATTTACGAAGACTCCATTAGCGACTCGCGTGCTCAGTTCCAAGCCGTATGTATCATTGCAGGTGCCTTGCATGGGACACGGGGTTTCTCCAAAGAGAATTACGACACACTCATTACCAAGACTGCTTTGCATGGCAGCAAACTACTCAAGAAACCTGACCAGTGTCGCGCGGTATACCTGGCAAGCCACCTCTGGTGGATTGTGGAGAACCCACAGCGGGAAGAAGATCCCCAAAATGTAAGCCAAAGACTCCTTTAGACCAGGAACCACAGCAACTCTAACAATGATCCAACAGCTCTACCGCGATGGCAAACGCGTCCTCGAATGCCTCCAACGTGCCCTCCGCGTTGCAGATGCCTGCATGGACACCGCCGTCTCCGTCGAGCTCTTCGTCGAGATCCTCAACCGCTACGTCTACTACTTCGACCAGCAAAATGAGACCGTCACGACTAAGTACCTCAACGGCCTCATTGAGCTCATCCACTCTAACCTGCAGACGAACGAGGATGAACCAAATCCTAGCCTCGAGGGCCCGAAGCGCCATTTCCAGCGAACGTTGGATTATATCCGGTCGAGGGAGTATGAGGGTATTGTCACGGAGGCTAAGCAGTGAGCTAACTATTGAGTATGCAATGACCGTTCTTTGAAATGCATATTGTTCTACGCTTTCTGTTCTAATGTCGTTTTTAATTTGATTTGGCCTGGCACTGGTATATTGTTCGAGTCTCTTTCTTGTTGATACATAGGTGTATCATTGTTCATTGTTCCCCCATACCCTTTTTTCCTGTCTTGTTTTTCTTCACGTCTATTGTCAGAATAGAAAGATATCAGAGCGAAGAAATATATTTTTTCTTTTGGCTCTCTAAATGGAGCGATAGATCTTGATTTATTATGTTCTCTCTTAAAACAAGAGCAAATACCGAACCCATATCGGACGCCGCAAGTTCACAAGTAGCAAATCCTAACTCCTGATCCAAGAATATTCCCATATTCCCCGCTTCTATGCATCAAAGATTACAAGCAATACGAAGTAGATAATATTCCGAGTCAGAAGACAGCAACAAGAAAAGACTCTTGTGAAGCCAAATCGGATCATGCAATTGGTTTAACACGGAGTGGGTAGAACCCCATGGGAATCGCTGCAGAGTGGGGGGAAATAACTCATACACACAAACACCATTGCAAAATGGCAAATAGAAAAAGAAGTGCAAAGAGGAAGACTCGGACATGAGAAGTAGGAAAGACGAAAAGAGTACCAAGGAGGATGAGAGGAAATGAGGACATGGCGGAACGCTTAACTCCGGTGTAGAAATTTCAGCAGTTCATCCCAAAGCGTAAAAAGGTAGTAGTGGAGTTGAAGCCAAACGTCTAGAAGCCGGTTGGAGGAGAAGTAAACTGCCGTAGCACGGAAGAAGTGGAAATGCCGCCAAATACTGGTACGCTGCTATTTGTAATTGGACTCCCGATCTCACCGGGGACAATGCTGCCTCTGTGGCCTGAAGCAGCACTGATAGTATCCGACTCGAACTTGACGAATTGTCCATTCTCGTTGTCGCGGATCGAAAACGAACCACCCCCGTTTTGGGGGTTGCCTTCCGTGTCGCAGATGTCGAGCATCTCCTTCAAGGAAATAGCAGGCTCGCTAGGCGGTTTTAACTGCTCTATTTGGCGAAGAACAAGGTGCACATCATGGTAGCCGCTTGCATCTTTAGAAGGAAGAATGGCATTAAGCTGCTTGCAGGCTTGTATCACCAATAACCGAATCGTAACAGGCCGCGACGTGTGTGTACGGTGGAAACCTCCAGCCCCGAAAGCGTTGTTTGACCAGCCGCTTCCTACATACATAGTTAATATCGACCAAGGACGCTAAAAGAGCATAATAAGCTACTTACCAGGTCCAGTGCCCCATGTTGTTGGCCCAGGGAATGGAGAGGTACCAAAGGGAAGTGGTGGTGGTCCCCAAGTGTTGCTCCCTACTCCACTAGGATTCAATGAGAAATTAGGAGGTTTCGACGCTGTACAATCGTTAGTCATCTAAGTCGTTGATTCAATTCAATGATTGAAGGTTGACATACCAAGAGGGTCAACAAAATATGACGGTGCCTCAAAGCTAGCACGAGTTGGCCCTCGGAAAGGTCCCGGTACCGTTGCACCTGGAAGAGATTGAGATAAACTCGAGGGCAATGGCGCATCAGTGTCGTCGAGAAGGGCACTGCTGCCTAGATGTGTGCTTAACTCTTCCACATCTTGCTTTGCAGTAGTACGCCTGTTTCCGTGCTGTTGATCCTGCGGAGCCGTACTGGAAGGACGTTTGATTGGACTGGGTCGGGAAATCGGGAGGGGCTGTGTTTGGGTATTTAGAGGGGACCGTTCAAAGGAGTTAGACGGCTGTCTAGAGTGAACCTGCGACAGTCCATTCTGATGCGGAGAGAATGCGTTCGCCACCGGCTGCTGGCCATGGAAGGGAAGCCCATGCCCCAGATCGAGCGGGAAACCTCGTCCAGGCGGCATCGGACGGACTCCATTAATCCCTGGAGGAACCGGTATCCCATTTGGTGCAGGGAACCCGCGCAATGGGCTCATGAGAGATCCAGTGTGTGGCGGGTATGCAGGCAACTCTGGGCCCATTGGCGGTCGAGGAGGCATACCTGATAGACCAGGGGGGGGATGAGACGGCAAGCCGTTGATGCCAAATAACCCCGGGGGATGAGATCTAGCTGTGGAACCGAGAGGAGACAACGGCGTAGACGGTTGAGGAGTATGTAGCATCGGATGCTGTGCAAGTCCCTGTCTGGACGAGGTTCCAGATGGAGGCATAGATCGCGGAGAGACGGAGGGTTGCGAATGTTCTGCACTGGCGGCCTGCGATCGTGGCGACGATGTGTGCGAGCCCTGACGAGATGGTTGACGGACCCTGGCGGGCGTAGGTGCCTTGGGGACTACGGGCGTAGCGATTTGAGAGTGCGGCGACGGCCCCTGGGGAAGTGGCATGTTGTACGGAATAGGGACACTTGGAAGGATCGGTTGAGTCTTGACCTCCCGCGTTTCTTTCTCTCGTTCCTCTTGTTCCTTTCGCCGGGCCTCCTCACGCCGCTTCTTTTCCTCACGATGTTTTTTCTCGGCGTCCGCCTGTCGTTCTCTCTCTTCACGGAGGCGTCGTTGCTTCTCGGCTTCTTTGCGTACACGCTCTTCCTCTTGGGCTTTTCGCTCAGCTTCCCGTTTCTTTCGCTGCTCTTCACGTTTGCGCCGTTGCTCTTCCTGTTTCTTCTCCTGTGCGGCCTTCGCTGCAGCTTCCTCTGCAGCCTTCTCCGCCTCACGCCGCGCCTTTTCTTCTTCCTTGGCCTGCTTCTGAAGTCGCTTTTTCTCCTTCTTCTTTTCGGCCTCTCGGGCTTTCTTGGCGGAGCGCTGTTCGTTCCGGTTTTCCTCTTCCAAAAGCTCCTCGATGAGCTTTTGTTGTCGCTGTTCGGCGACCTTCTCCCGATACGCTGTTAAGACGCGCTGTTCAAACATTCGGGCCGCAAAGATCTGAAACATTCGTCTTCCTTCCTCCATGCGTTGCTCTTCGGTCATGGCGTCCTGAAAAAACTCAGTCAGCACGCACCGTCCCTGCAAACATGGCGAAGAGAATGGGCCAACAACTCCAGGGCACACCATTTCATCTTCCTCATAATCCTCTTCCTCCTGACTATCATAATCTTCATCCTCTTCATCATCGTAATCTTCATCGTCGAGAGGAGCGTGGTTGTGGCCGCCATGGAGGGATTGATGTGCTGCAGCGATTCCGTATTGGGTATCTTCCTCCCGCTGCATTCGACGTTCGGCTAACTGTTCCATCATGTCGATAAAATGTTTTCCATCGTTCTTTAATAAATCGTCCGCGACTGTAAGGATCCCATCTACATGAGGAAAAGTCAGATATCGTTATCCTGAAAAAGGATCCATATTCAAGTTCATAAGGCCGTGCTATCCTCCTACCTTTTACCGTTAGGCTGTTTCCAAAGGCAAAGAAATCCGCGCGGGCCGCACGAGTGTCCTCGTCCTCAAGATCCTCGTCTTCCTCCTCTTCATCGCTGTATGGCTCATCGTCCTCGTCCTCTTCATCATACTCTTCTTCTTCCAAATCTTCTTCATCCTCTTCTGGCAATTCATGAACACGGCCTCGTGAAGGATGGAATTGACCATGTGTTCTGGTATGTTGGCCAGGGGATCGTAATGGTGGATGATATAAACGAGGAGGGGGGACGATCGGCGAGTTCTTCTCGAAGGAACCTTGGTTATAATTGGCGTACTGTTCGAGCTCTTCGTAGTACGCATCATAGAGCACCTCGAGCTCCTCTTCGATGGCCGTCCGCTTTCGCCCGCACACAGTACAGCTGCACGAATGTTTCTGCTGCTCCTTCATCTTCTTCAAGACCGCATCCTTCTCCACCTTGACCAATTGTCGTCGTTCCTCCTCGCCTAATTCAAGCCAAAAAGTTTTAATATTTTCTCTTTCTTCCTGTGTCGAAGTATTCCAGATACTGCGCTCTTTGGCCGATTTCAAAATCGCGCGGGGTCCGAAATGCGGGGGGAGAGGGGGAGGAAAGGAGTGCGACATGGAAACGGATGGAGTAGATCGAGGGGTAGAGCTGCCATCCGCAGCAATCCGAGAACCAGATCTGCCCTTTTTACCCTTTCTCTTCTTAGATTTCCTGCCCGGTACTGCTTGGTGAACATGATTAGATGTCCCGTGATACGCATCGATAGAAACTTGATCATCATCATCGGAATACATGTCTCCATTGGTAGAATGGTGTGGTTCAACATCATCCAAATCGGGCTCATTGTAGGGGTGGTCCTCCAGTCCTGCGTGTTCAGTAGCATCTGTCGACGCATATCCGTTCTGAAGATGACTATCTGCGGCCAAACGAGCAGCTTGTTTTTGCCTTCTTTTCTGCTTCTTGCGGTTCACGGTTGGAGCCATCGGGTTCGAGGTTTGGTTCTCTTTGAGCGCATGCGCCTCACCGTTGGTGGGACGCGTTGAAGGGCGGTCGGACATGGTGGGATCTGATCGAGGGGGGTTGGGAGCGTGCGGAGAGGTCAAGGAGTTCTGTACTGTTTTGGCTGCTGAACCAGCCTTTACAGGCATGGAGGCGACGGCGAATGTCTCCCCCTTATCCTATCAGGTTCCAACAGTAATTAGAACCAAAACGGCCGCGGAAAACGATAAAATGTAACGCACTCACCGAGCGCTAGGTGAAAGAACGAATGGCGCTTAGAGCCGTCAGCAAGCCCCCACACTAAATGTCGCCTTTTCGCCCTCCTCCGGGCAAGGATATTGACTCACGGGAGCCAGTAGCGGAGCTATGAGGCCAGCGGTAGAATCCAGAGTGACCGAAACGGGAACGAATGAAAGCGGAGAGAGGGGTGGAAAAGGGACCCTGGCCGCACGTCTATCGATACCTGGCGAAGCAGTAAACGAGCCGAGAGAGAAACGGTAGCCGAAGGGTCGGTCGGGGAATCGAATACGAAGCGAAATATAAGGCAACAAGCGCACGGGAGGCTGGAGATGGGGTGGTTAGACTGGAGAGAGGACGGAGAGACTGAATGGATCTGGATGGTTAGTGGATCTTTGACGCCGCCGCGTGACTAAGGCGGGCGCGAATAGGCGCCGTAAGCGAAATTGAAGCCTGAATGTATAGGCATTAACAGCAATTGACAGGGCTTTGCAGGATATTAGCCGAATGACAATGGGGGTATTAATGGTAGAATTTTAATCGCTATACTGCTGGGAATACGGTAAAGCCGATTTGAATATCGATTGAAGCTATGCTCGGCTAATCTGCGCTGCAATAACGGCTCTAATTACCCCGTCCATACTCCATACAACTAAAGGAACATACAAATCTCTTGCAACAGATTAAACTCCTCAGATCCAAACATCTGAGACGCTTGTCAAGCGACTAAAATCAACGGGTGGGCTTCAGTCCAACTGTATTCCGTTCATCGACCGGCCGATCTCATCCTTTACTTTGATTACGGGTTCAATGCCTTATTAAGACAAAAGGCCCGGGTCCATTTATGTATTTTTTTGAGTCTGGATTCCGGGTCTTCCAGCTCAATTCTTTTCGATTCTTCTTATATTTCTTTCCTCCCCTCTTCTACTACCCAATAATTGTTCTGCATACTCCGTGCGGATTGCGTCCTGCCAGTGGCCGATCCATTTATTATTATTATTTACTGCTGGTCAGCCTCGCCTCGACCGCCTTCCAGAATTCCTCCCTCCACCCCCCTCTCTCTCCAAAGGGCCCTTATCATCGCCTCCATCGCTGCCCTGTTTCTCCATCATTTTCTCCTTCAGTTTCAATTGTTAAAGGGGGAGGGGACCAGTTGGTCAACTTTTTTGGCTATTCGTTCGACCCTTTCTGCAACCGAATCGAATCGAGAAGTTGTCCCTTACGCTAGTGCCCCCGTTGCCCGATTGTTTCGCATTACATCGGGCTTGAAACCACGCCCTCTCCGTCGCCCGCCTGCGGTTTTCCCTTTTCTGCTCTCGGATTTTGGATCGCAGTGTTTCTTAGAATTTCATTACCGGGAATTCAGGTGACGACCGTTGGACAACCATGGCGCAGCAACCAAATGACAATGTTATGCGAAGGTACGTGTAAGACGGCAAGGGAGAATTGAATCAGAAACCATTCCGGATCCCACTTTTCATCGGTTCTTATGGCCTTTTTTATACATATATGAAAGATGTCCAGGCTGGGCCGAGATAAACCGGGCTGGATTGCATTGAGCAGTTCCAGATTGTCGCACGGTATTTAGTTGGGAAAGCAGGGCAGGCCTATAGCAAACCGGACCTTTTATTTTATTTTTTTATTTTTTTTTTGCTCAGAGAACAGTACACTGACCAAGGAACGCATAATTGCAGGAAGCTGGTGATTATCGGAGATGGTGCATGTGGGAAAACCAGTCTTCTCAGCGTTTTTACATTGGGGTATTTCCCAACAGTGAGTGTTTCAAAATTGTCCTATTCATATCAGATGACAATGGCTAATGTTTGTTATCATTGCAGCATTATGTTAGTGAACCCGTTTTGCCGTCCGTTCGAGTGCATATCCGAAATCTGACTGAATACACGTTGATCAGGTCCCTACCGTTTTTGAGAACTACGTGACGGATTGCAGAGTTGATGGTCGCTCTGTGCAATTAGCATTGTGGGATACTGCAGGTCAGGAAGACTACGAGCGATTGCGACCTATGGCATATTCTAAAGCCCATGTCATTCTGATCGGTTTCTCCGTCGATACCCCTGATAGTTTGGAGAACGTGAAGCACAAGGTTCGTTTAATCACGCATATCCTCCGACAACATTCAAGTCTAACTAAAACGATTATAGTGGATGGACGAGGCAAACGAGCGGTGCCCTGGCGTTCCTATCATATTGGTCGGGTTGAAGAAGGATCTTCGCGATGATCCACTTGCGATAGAGGAGATGAGAAAGAAATCGCTACGATTCGTGACACCCAAAGAGGGCGGAGATATATCAACCCAGATTGGAGCCAGAAAGTATCTGGAATGCTCGTCTTTAACGGGAGAGGGTGTTGACGACGTCTTCGAAGCGGCCACTCGCGCAGCTCTTCTCACGTTTGAGAAGCGAAAGAGTTCATGCTGCATTGTTCTATGACGGATCGAAGAGAGTTTAGTACGCTCAAGCCTGCGTTGCTTCTGTATTGAGAGGCACAGCAGGGAATAAGATCCTTCGATGACATTCGATTTTATCGATATCTTGCATAACCGGCGTTTGGGAGGTTTTTTGTCGAATTTTTTTCCGCCTCGAATCATTTTTGTACGCCATATGACGCCTGCTATCTTTCGACCATTTTAACCAGAGGTATCTCCCCTCTGTCGCTTTGAGCCCATCCCGATATTCCTCGGAGTTACTGTTTTTTCTGCCCATCCTTCTGGTCGATTTTACATGCGTGTGTGCGCTCTGGAGTTCCTTCTTTATATTTTTCATTTCCATGTTGGAATTTATTTCTTGACCAGGTCTCGTCATGGGTGCGTTTTGTTTCTTCGAATCTGTCTCCTTATTAGCGTCTTGGTTTTCGAATCATTTTGGTCCGTTATCTACTGTCAAATCTACGTGCTATATCACGATAATTGTATACTGCAGTGATCTAAACAACGTGCCACTCTATTGTACGGAATACAACCCAGAAATTGCCAGATAGAACGATAGAGAAAAAAAAGAACCGTCATTTATAATACAACCCAAACTCATAACAATACATGCAAATCAAAAAGTTCTTTTGAAAAACATCCACTTATTTCTTCTCCATCTTCTTCCACTCATGATTCCACCCCTCCCGACTAGGTGCATCAGTCTGCAACCGCCCATACTCAATCGGGAACATATCTGCAAAAACACCCTTCTTGTTCATCGACTTCCGGAACAACTTTCCGCCATCGTAGGCGCCCGTACGCAGCTCTTCGCACGCGCGGTACATGGCATGTTCCTGGCGCTCGAGCTCGAGATGATGCGCCCGGCGCTGCTGGGCTCGGTAGAGTTGCCAGGCGCGGTGGATGGTCCAGTGGCGGAGGTAGCGGTTGCGGGAGAAGCGGAGGGGCCGCGGGGTTAGGGGGTGCCAGAGGAAGTAGCGGATCATAGCTGGAGCAATATATGAGTATTTTCCTTCCTGTTCTTTTTTTTTATTCGGCCTCCCCGTGTAGCATTGGCACGGAGAAATTGTCTTGTGCGTGCGGGCGACGGGAAATGTCCAACGTACTGATTCTCTTATTCACCTGCGGCGGTACAGCCCCGGCATTCCTCTTGGTCAAGGCACTCGTAGTCGAGAACGTCCTCGATGCTGCGGGCTGCACGGCGGCCGTGATTGGCCCCGTGGTGGTTTTGCTGCTCGTCACGGCCTCATTGCAGACTCTGTTGATGGCGGGGCGGGTCGAGATTTGCGAGAGAGGGATTCTGAAGACATTCGCGAGGGACGCAAGGACCGGTGAGAGGGACTTCATTGTGGGATATATGCTGACTTGGGGTTTGGGGAGTTGAATTGGACGGCGGGTTTGATATGGTGGTTCTGCTTGTATCGGAGTCGGTGTCTGTTTCAGATACGCTATTCTTGATTAGGTTAGTGTTTATATTGGATGATGAGTCAGCGTATAGTAGGGTCTTCTACTGCTTACAATAGATTTTGCAGTTATACGATGTTCTATCGAACAGTAGTATAACTGTATGGTATCTATAAAGCATCTTCCATGAGAACCGAAGGGAAGCTTAGTAGCACATTTATCAGAATTGCCTGCTGCATGGAGTAACCATCAATTACAGAAGCCCTAACCCCTCATCAAGAACTTCATTCCAGTGTAGTTGCGGAAACTATCTGCCTATGTTCAATCTGAAATCGTGTTATTTAGGTGGGTCAATTTGCACATATGGGGACCGCTCATGAGTGTCAGAAAACAACGGCGCCTTTTATCAAACAAGGCAGAAAATAACCTCAACCGACGACCAACAATAACAAGCGCTCCACCATTATGGATGCAAGTATGGCAGAGGTGCAGCCATATATACTAGCCGCTCCATTTGCAAAGATATTCAGCTGATCATGAACAGTCATTTGTTGACCGCTACTTTCTAATGGGACATGGCTGGAGTTCTTACCAGTCGGACACATGACTTTTGCGACCCTATCCTTCCATTTTGATTTTACAACTAGAATGTGAGCACCTGTGAAATCGACACCGAAAATGACCGCCAGTGAGACCGTTTACGGCGTCATTTCCACACGGCGTTTCAGCGACTGGTTGCTGCTTTAACAATTTACACATGTAATCCGGCCACTATTCTACACCCGCCAAGCCTATTTGTCTTTGTAGCACCGCACCCTGGTGTTGTTGGCTTACCCTGCGAACCTCTTCAACTCATGATCAAATCGCTGCCGAAATAGGCTTCCCTCGCTGCAAAATACAGCTGCTCTCTGGTTCCTACAGGCTTCCCTGGGCGACCATATAAAATGTCACTTTTTCTCTTCCCCTTGTCTCCTTTTTCTGGCCATTTCTGTCTCTCATCACGCCTCTCAAAAACTCTCCTTCCCAACCCAGCATCAACTGTTGCAAGCAGTGCCTTCAGAACTCCCTTTTTCTTTATTCATATTATATCTGTTTGTCTCAATGACGCCGCCTCCTCTTCCTCCTGCGAACCCCGACGAGCACCAGTACTGGACCGATCCTATCCTGTGCGAGGAGACTTGGACCAAACTTGGGCATTTCTGAAATCTGGGATGGCTTCCCCCTAACTACAAGCCCGGGACATTTGAAGTTCTTGCAGTTGTTGGACAGTACTGGCAAAGGCACGTCATCCCTTCACTCTCACAGTGGACCAGAGGATGTTCCAATAAAACTAACAGCCTGCAGATATTGTGCACATTCAAAAAAGGACTATATGGAATATCTACTCTTGAAAGACAAAGTCATCTATATGAACTTTCTTGACTGGATGTCAAGGACCTCGCGCGAGAAAAGACCTCAGACCTATGATGAGTATTGGCAGTGCATGTGCCAATACTTTGGCTTGTTTGCCTGCTGGCCTGTAAATCATCATGTTCATGAGTAGATGCAACGAGTATGTTTAAGCTTCCTGTTCCATTCTTACACCTAAATACTCAATAGACAACAGTACCTTGAACATGTTTTTCCTGCAGAGCGCAAGATCAGTAGGTGCGTGACAAAGAAGAGCACACTGGACATAGATGATTTCTGCATCCTTTTACACCACCACTGAGTTCATTTTTCTTTCTTCTGTCATGGGAGCATGATTATCCAGCAAGCTGTGATCATGCTTCGGTCCTTCATCACAGGGACTTGACCAGGTGTGCTACTTCCGCAGTGAGATGCTACAAATGATCCCAATGCATCACAAGATGGCTTGCTTTCACTCAGCCCAAGAAAGCGCAAGCGGGGTGATTTGTTTAAGAGTGATCTTCCTCAACGGATTTCATCCGACGATCTTCCCAATACTATATGTTACAGTGACATCGAGCTCTTTTACCTCAGAAACTCATATGATGGTCGAGACGTTCTCTGTGCCATCATTGAATTTCGTAACCTTAAGGGCCGGTCAGAGGGTGCTGATGGGTGAGTTTTCCCAATTTCTTCGGCAAACTTTAAGTCTACTGACATTGCTGGGACGAAGGACGAACTTCTTCATGCATGGAGATTATCAATTGGCATACTGTCCAATTGCTCAAATTGCGTCACTGGCCTTCCGCGATGATGCTTTCGAAAATGAGCTGACCCCAGAGTTGATCTGGGGAATTAAGGTTCCAAAGCGTACCAGAGCTCTTCCGCTTCAGTGGAAAAAGGATAAGTTGAACCTTCCTCTACTTCGACGTGTGGTTCGAACTCAGTATGGCCACGGGGTTCATCTGACGCTACCAATGACTCGAGCCGGCTGGCACCCAAAGATCTGGGAGAGGATGGAGGATTTGAGGATAACCTAGGTCATTACAACTTCTGACGTTGGACCGCAAATGAAGCCAATCGTAAGTATCTCTGCATGTGACCCTATTGTCTTTTATAGGATCTCTGTGATTCCGATGGGTATGGGGGCTTTGGGTGAATTATTGGATTTGCCTAACGTGCTTGGAACAGGCCACTTTACCAGTCAAGAGCGGAAAAGGGTTCTTGGCCAGTCCGGAGACTTTATTTTCGAAAAGCATTACCAAGCGAATTTATCCAGCGAGATCTCCAACATGTGGTCCTCCTTCGGCCCCCTCAGGAGGGTCTTCTTCAGAGAGCAGCGGGCATGCTTAGGATCAGAGGCATGACGAAATCAGCAGGAAGCTCACCAATTTAAGGAAGACCCTACGAGATAATACTCGGCAAACTGCCAGAAAAGATTATTTCCATACGGCACCCGTACTAGAAATCGACAGACAAATTCAGCAACTCTTGGGTAAATCTGGTGCAGAAAATTGTGATGCTGACAGTATCAAAGATGGCGATGAAGATTGGCAGCCTCCCATCTGGATTATGCTTTCCCTGAAAGAGCTCGTCTAGTGGATTCATTCTATGGTCCGGAGGGGGAGTGTTTTGATGAGGATAGACTACTTGCAAAATGTATACAAGTTACTGAGGACCTGGTCGCACTCTCGCACCTCTGAACCAAATCGTCGAGGCAAACGAGCCAACTGGGATGGGGATGTTGAGCAGAGCAAGACAGCTGAGGAAAAAGAAGCCTTCCTGTCAGAAAAGAAATCCCCGGAGTGCCTCATGGATGTATGTATCTTCTGCTGTGGTATATCCCGCCGCTCACCTTCTAATCCCCATCCACACAAGTTTCCATCAGAAAGGATTCTCTCTGTCGTCATCTAATTGGTCACCTTATGAACGCACACGACGGAGTACGCTGCACCTGGGAAACTTGCAGCAAACTCCCTACTTTCATCAATATCGCTGAATTTTTAGCACATGCCGCCAATATTCATCACTATGACCTCCATATCAAGCTGGAACGTATTCCCAAGAGACGAAAGCCGTCTCGGGATAAAACACCGTCTTTCAGCAGCTCCAGCATGTCGTTAAGGTTGAGCTGATCAGCCACCGAGACGCCCGCTTCCTCCGTTGATATTGAAATAGGGAAGATTGACCCACGTTTACTTGCAGCCTCGAATACCAAATACAATGAGACCTGCTGTCAGTCCCAACGATTGAGCCCTCATTGATAGTACAAAGCGATGTCGTTTATAGTTTGTAGGTAGATCTCGAAGCTTCTCATGTACCGAAGACTGGTCCTTAATACAACATTTACGTTTTTATATAAGATCATATCACTTAAAAGCAAACGATGCTCAGGCACTAAGAACAATGCACTACCAACATAAACCATCTCTAACGCTAAATATACTAATATAATACCTTAAACACCCAAGGCAACTGGCGGGCACTCTAGATCTGCCAGTCAACTAACATCATTGTTAGTGTGTCCATGAGCTCTTAGGATATGAACATAAATGGGGCCCATCGCGTCAGGTTACTGAATCAGTATTCTGTACACTCCAGAAATAGTGGGGTAGCATACATATGTCGATGATATTTCATGTATCAGTTAAACGTAAACAAGGGTGCCAGATGCTGATGACTCGGGTAGTAAGGCTGAGCGCGTAGGGCTTTGTGGTATAGCAACCAGATACGCCAGACCTTGCGCCCTTGACCTAGCTGATCAACAGATCGCGGTCGTACGACCAGCACGGTGGAAGGACCGCCAACTGGCGTCCACACCAGGTGCAAGACCCTTACGGTCGTCTATTCACATTGTTGCGACCCTGCTGGTCTCCGGACCACCCAAGGTGATTGAAATCACTTTCATAGTCCCAGCTCTCATGCAATCAACCTCATCGTGCCCTCATCTATCACGAGCTGATATGAGGCACTAAACTAAGCACATTGTTATGGCTGGCGGGCCGCGCCTCCGGAGACAGGTTGGCTACTAATGTTCCTAGGGAATATCTCAGTTTCCCAAACTTAAATGCTTCATAAGCCGGGTTACTTCAAACAGATCTACCCAATTCAAAGAATGTACTCTAAACCCAAGTTTGGTGATTGGCCTATCAGTAGCCGCTGAGCTTTCTACCTGAGATTTGACGACTATAGGCTTCCTAAACGGGTTAATCTTGGGTTTCTAGTATCTATATAAACGATGATATGGCCATCCTAATGAATGTCATGGGGTTTTCTGAAATACATCAAGGAGGAATACGGAAGACGGCTTGAGGTATGAGGATTCTGTTCTCTTTTTATCGTTCATTCACGACTGATAGTAGGTTAGGCTTACAAAAAACAATGGATCGTCTACAACTTCACGTTGTACTCTATCGACCCCGTTATGGCAATTACCAACACTGTGGCTTGTACCTGGAGGATGAAAGAGAGCCCCTCATTTTCGAAGTTACCGGCGAACATCCGAAATTCGAACGCAATATCATGAAAGCACGACCTGAAAATTCTAGGAGCTTTCTGCAGAAAGTTTACATCGGCCTTTCTGATTACGCCGATGTAAAAAATATGAAACAAGCTGCAGAGACGGTGCCCGCCATCATGATGTACAGACAGCAGCTCGACCAGATAGGCACCTTCGTTAACTTTTTCTTCTCAGGACGATAAGACGACCCAATGAATTGCCATATGTTGGTTGGAAAGGCCGAGGCCGCTTAAGCCATTCCATGTCCTCCAAGTCAACGACAGTCTGTTCATCCCACGGCATATTACGCCATTCTTTGTCTCTGTGTTCAACACCATACTTCTGGAGGGACTTCAGAGCTTTCTCTCGCTCTTTGTGGAAGAAATCCAAATTTTCATCTTTGATTATCCGCTGAAGCCTAGTTCCAGACCAACTCAGGATCATCATATGCGCCATTACCTGACCGTGGTACCAGTATGCGATGCTTGGCTCAAAGTCGCCTGAACAGACCGGGATCTGATATCCTTGCAAGCTTCGGAGCTTGCGATAATTGTCAACTTCTGTTGTAAGGGCATGCTGATTCTCCTTTGTTGTAGCCTTGATGACTACGGTATACCCATGAGACAATAGAGTCGCTTTCATGAGATACCCCGTCCGACCACGGATGTGTAGCAGCTCAAAACCCTTATTTCGATTCTGGACAAGTTGATCGTGCAGCTTGCGCGTGAAGTCCCGCGGGCCCATTGGATGCCTCTGACCGCTGTGATGTTGTCAGTTAGGGCACTTTTTATCCAGAGGACCCCCATTGACCATACCGCGGATACAAGCCATGGTGCAGTACGGTCTCTGCACCCTTTGAGAAGGAGTTTGCTTTGTTCTTCGGTCGGGTTGTGCCCGTTTGCGTCCGCCAGTTGATAGATGTTTACCTTTCCTGCGACTCGATTGACTGCGTGCGGCTGGTGTGGTGGATGGCAAAGGCATATCCTTGTCACTATCACTGCTTTCACTTGGCGAGTCTGCCGGGGTAGATACGCCTGGATTACAGCGAGCATGGGAACGTGTATTGTGTCTTTGAATTCAGCTTCCAGTATGAAGGCCGATAGTTCGAGGGCGGTGGCTCCTTGCGAATTGTTTCGGGAATATCACGCAAGACGTCCAAGTATTCGACTTTCCAGGTCGAGAGCTGTTCATGTGCGGTATTGTACCACTCTTGGGACGGAGCTTCAGCGGCCAGCGCTTGGAGTGTGAACGCAAGCATCTGGCCCACAGCAGTCTGGTGGAGACAGCTCTCATCGCCTGCCTGCACGTCTTGATTTGGGAAACACAAATAGTATTGAACTATTGTGGGATCCTCTGGAATATGTAGAAAGACAAATGCCTCCCCTGTCCGAATACACCCGTTCTGTATCCCTAAGTCATGCATGTATGAGAATATTTGAGTGACAACAGCGGCAACAAGGCGGGTGGTATGAAACTCAAACATGTCTCCTTCCTGATCAATAACATCGCGGGCCAGGTCCATCTCGTGCAAGCCCGCGACTAGTTCTGCGACTGTAAGCTTGTGAGGGGCTTTAAACTCCACCGCATACACTGGTATCTGGCGCTCGTCAGCCACGATGTGAACACAGAACTGATCAGCACGGCGATTGCACCGCCTTCGTTAGCGAGCCCTTGTTTGACTTTGACCTGTTTGCTTCCCCTTCCCTTTTCTTCTACCTCTCCCGCGGTTGGTGTTTGTTGGTTGACGGGGTGCGTCGTCAAGATGCATCTCTAGACTGTCATCCAGTGAGGTTGAGTTCGTGCGGTCATAAAAGGCCACTCAGCCCTCAATACCAAACTCCTGTTGCAAAGTTTCATCGCCTCGTAATGCCTCGACAATGTTTTCAACAAAGTTATCCACAGTGTCTCGCTCGAAATTTCGTAAAGTTGCTTCTGAGTAAATCGGTCGGTCTTGGACATTTGTTGCGACATAGTCTAACTGGGTATTGGAAGGAAAGAGCGGACATGAGGTAAAGCCGACTGCACGCTCAAATTTCTTCCAGATTTGCTCCTGGATCTGAGGGAAATCAAGCCATGGAACAATCCGCTTGGGAAAAAGTCGATTAACCGGGTCAGTCACGTTGCCTTGGGTTGTCAGGGTCGCGTTCGTCTCGACTCGGATCGTCTGTGACAGAGATTCGTGGCAGCGATCGAGAAGGCGAAATAGAGAGTTGGGTTGCAGTCGTTGTTCTGCCTCTTC